CTATCTCAGGCTGCCAGGGACCAAGTGGATGTTTTAAGCATTATGTATTAAGAATAATTTTCAGTTCTTTAGGGGAGGCCTAAGCCCAGCAGTGGGCGTCTCTCGACTGAATTGATGATGATGATGATGGCATTGTGAATGTAAAATTAATCAAAATATCATAATTTTTTTCAATTTTTTTGGTATTTATCAATACAGTGCCAATAGAAATACATCATCTGTGAAAATTTCAACTGTCTAACTATCACGGTTCATGAGATACAGCCTGGTGACAGACGGACAGACAGACGGAGGGACGGACGGGGGAGTCTTAGTAATAGGGTCCCGTTTTTTATTCTTTAGGTATAGAACTCTAAAACGAATCGCCTTGCGATAAAAAAAAATCCGTTAAATCAACCAATATCGATAAAGTAAATAATATCGAAGATGCACGATACTACTATTCATATTTTTGTGTAGTTCTCCTCTTTAACAAATTATGATTTGTATAATAAAGATTTTTTTATGATTCTCAAGCCTATTTATAAAGGCGATGAAGTTCTCCCAGTTTTTTTATATATCAAAACCATACAACTGATCCAGAGGTAATTTCGTCAAAGTTTTAATGGCATTATTTTGAGGACATACTCTTTCCAACAAAAAGAAGCGCAATATGAATACAAGAAAAGATTTAAATTGAAAACCTATTCGTTTTTTTTAAGTGGGTTAAAAATAAACGACTGTACATACTAATACCACGCAAAAGTTGTGGGCAAAAATTAGTAGAATATAAACTAACTGATCACCTTAAAGCACCTATTTATTGACTATTTACTATTTACTATATTTTTTTAGTAGCCCAATGGCGTTGTGGTCCGCCATCGGTACTGTTAAGGAACTTTGATGTGACCAAAAAATTATTATCTCGAGCTTCTCCGTGCTTTGAAAGGCACATCAAGCCGTTGGTTGCGGCTGCATTTGCAGTCGTTAAACTCTCTAATCCACATTGGGCTAGCATGGAGGGTCATGGCCCATCCTCTCCAACCATGTTAGTTAAAAGGAACGAAAATTACTATCTTGAAAATATCGACTTTTGGTAGAGTCGTCATCTAGTGAGGTACTTTTTTAGTGCTATCTATTTTTTTCTTAAAATACTTCCTCATTGCTAATAAATATTTTTTCAGTCACTGAAATATTTGTTCAGGTGGTAAAATCTAAAGGAAAAATAAACTATTATAAACCTAGAAAGTTATGTCTATTGATATTTTCTCTGGAACATTTCGCAAAAATTTCTCTAAAAACAAGTTTTGTCTACGTACCTAAAAGTGGCGCCAAAATTATAGTATATTAATTTAGTTGAAAAAAAACCGTAACAAACCATGTTGCGTAAACTCGTGATATAGACCCTGTGAGATTTCTTATATGACATTTAAGTTACATGATTCTTCAAGTCATGTAGTCTCGCGTATGTAAAAAAAAAATCATTTTCCGGTTCCCAATCAAAAACTGGGATTTTATAAAATCCCAGTCTTGTAAGTGTACTAAATGGGGCACTGAGGAAAACTTATAAAATCTTTGATCACATATAACTTGATTTCTGTGATATTTACGAACTCGAAAATTGAAACTAATTTTAGGAATTATATACTCCAATTTTATGCGTAAGTGCACCCGAGCATGAAATATGTATAGTATAGACATTGTAGAATTATTTATATCACCATTACTACGGCACGTGTCCCTCTACAACACACGCACGTACTCTCTACAGGGCCGGATTAGCCCAAAGAAAAATTAACAATTACTTAGCGTATCACGTCTTGGTGGAACCAGAAATAGTACCAAAAATAAATTTAAAGACAATTTTTTTTTTTTAAATCTATGAGTTTTGCAAGTAACGTATGAAGGTTAAAACAGATACGTGGTTTGCCACCTACACACATTACTTAGCTACGTAATAATATATCTTGTTGTTTTAAATTCCTGCCAATTTATCAGATAATGGATGTGTACAAGTAATCTTAATCTCATCAAAAACATTAATGTAAAATAACTTCTAAAGTCACTTCAACAAAATTTATACTATACTTACTAAATGTTTTATTATAAGATAGTTTAATTAATTAATCAATAAAGATAATTTTCGGAAGTTTATTTGGAATATTTATTTATAAAAGCAGAATATCTATAGATCTGAATTATGAATATTAACTGATTAGCGGAGTTCAAATATTATTCACTGTTTAAAATAGTTATAATTTGTGGATATAAGATAGTTCAGCGTTTATGCAGAAGATACGCAGCGTTTTATACACTTATTCAGCGATTAAGTGACTATTTAATCAGCTATTACTCAAATTAAAGCAGGTTATTTTGTGTCCAAATTGCATGAATATCGTTTGTAAAAGCGCTTATACAGACGTTAACCGGTCGACCATGTCAGCTTTAAGTCATCAAATTTGTTGTACACCGTACACCAAAGCAAAACTCTATTGTTGCGTATTCATGTTTTAGAGCATATCAAAGATCCCATGTCCGAGTGTTTTCTGATAAAATACTATAAGTTATCACATTTCTCCGTAATGAACTCAAAATTATGCAAGAAGCCACTATACTGAGCTTTTAGTTATTTTTTTTTTAATATTTGAGTTTAAAATTTGACTTTAAAAGAAAATATAAAAAGCACAATTTATCGAAAAATTTTAGTAAGAAAGTATTGACACTTCGACGTCGATAAGCAATTTTTTAATAAATACTCTCTTTTAATGTTTTATTTAGATTTCTTTACTTTATTTCTTTTATTTTGTTTTGTCTTATTACTTTTATCCAATAAACCTATTCACCAACGACTTTTTCACAATCCTTTTAGAGAAAATAAAACTTCGCTAACGGTACATTTAAGAAGGCAATCCTGGGATTTACGACGCGGTGCAGCGAGCTTTCCGACGCAACTCGCATTTTATATGCGATTTATAATACGAAACTTATATTTTGAGCTTTTTAAGTTTTTATTTACCGCTATACAAGGTTTAGTTTACATTGAACACATTCTTCCACAGAATCTAACGTAATACTCTGACGGATGATAGTATAATAATGACTGTAATATTCAAATTTTTTAATGTTCTTTTTCTCGAGTAAAAAAGGTTTTGTAACTATTTTCTTTTAATGAAAAGTTGTCTTTATACATTTACTTTGTAACTTATATTCAGAAGTCATTTTGTATATAATGACCTTAAATTTCGATGGATGAGTTTAGAAATCGTCTTTTTATAAAACCGACCTAAATAGGTCAACACGTATCAATTTGACGTTATCTTTTTTAAACTTTAAACCTCATTTTATAATAAATATAATAAGGGGAATATTAAAAAAAGTAATTTGAGAATAATATACTCTGAACTGAAACTAAAAATCACTGCTCCATAACTATGTGTCATTTGAACTGATTAGAGATATGTTAGTGTTTCACTAACAGATTTCTAATGAAAAAAGTAGTCCAATTATTTTGTAATTTTTTCTCTCCTACCTCTCGGAAGGAAAATTTTAATAAGTGTGGAAATGTATGGAGACATACATTTCCACATAATCACCATTTACTTAGATATTAAATTTAATACGAGGGTCAAACTGAAAGTTCTTAGAAAATCAAAAACTGATTACATTAGCCAGTTATTAGTTTTATTATATCTTTTCAAAATATTGTCCATTCACGTCAATACACCGCTGCATGCGATGGAACCACTGGGAAAAGCACTTTGCCCACTCGTCCTTAGGGGTCTCTTCAATGGCATCGCGATACGCAGCCACCGCTTCTTCAGCATTCATAAACCGCTTTCCTTTAAGTTTTTCTTTAATTTTTGGAAATAAAAATAACAAGGCGCGAGGTCGGGGCTATACGGCGGGTGACCCAGTAATTCAACGTTTGATGTCGCCAAATAGTCGATCGTTCGCTTGGCGGTGTGCGACGAGGCGTTGTCGTGGTGAAGGAGGATCCTACTGCGAGGTCGTTTCTCTCGAACTTTTTCCAAGACAAGTGGCAAACAATTGGTAGTGTACCATTCTGCAGAAACTGTTTTTTGATCCTCTAACACAATTGTTGCAAAATGACCTATCCTTCCAAAGAACGAGGCCACCATTTTTTTTCCCGCACTTCGATCTCTCTTCACTTTAGTTGGCAACTCCTCGAAAGGAAACACCCACTGAGCAGATTGTCTTTTGGTTTTAGGATCATAACAGTAAATCCAGCTTTCGTCACCTGTTAGTATGTCGAACACAGCATTTGAGTCACCTCCGTTAAATCTTTCAATCATTTTACGACACCAATCCACACGATGGAGTTTTTGAGCCTCAGTCAAATTATGAGGTATCCACCGGGCGCAAAGCTTCCTGACCGCTAAATGTTCGTGGAGGATTTTGTGCACTTGACTCATACCGATGCCTAAGCTTGTCCGAATCTGTTGATAGGTCACTCTTTTGTCAGTCTCTATCATACGCCGCACAACACAGATGTTATCTTCAGTCGTCGCCGTAGAAGGCCGTCCCTCACGTAAATCATCAGTGAGATTAGTGCGACCACGTTTAAACTCATTAAACCAGTTGTAAACAGTCGCACGAGATGGGGCTTCATCGTGAAAGGCCAATCGTAGTCTATCATAACTTTCTTGTTGACTTAAATGACATCGAAAGTCATAAAAAATCATTGCACGAAAATTTTCTCGTGTTAAATTCATGATGACGTGACACAGACAATTTTCAATTTGCCGCCAAATCGTAAAACAAATGACAAATGAATGAAATATATACTCAGTAATATTGGCAAAGAGTTATATTTTCAAATTTTAGAATTATTTTTTTATTATATTGTTTATAAGTGGCCAGTTCTAAGAACTTTCAGTTTGACCCTCGTAATAAAATTATTTTTATACTATTTTCCGCAATACGTCATCCTGACCTGATTTCACTCCACTTTCTCTTTGTCTTATAGCAAATCATTAACTTCGACATTCGCTTTGTTATAGGAGATGCTGATACCAAAGGAGCAATGCAGGGTGCAGCCGCTTAGCTGTGAGTCGCGGACGGCTAGCTCGTTACCGCACGCGCGCCTCGCCCGCACGCCCTCCATATCTTCACAGAGTAGCCTCGACAGCGGCACCTCCAGGGCAACGGTATGAGTAAATCAAAAATTCAAAATACTCGTATAGTTACATTGTCCCTATTCTTATATTTATTGATTTGGGTTGTGTCCTACAAGTGAAAATATAGGTTTCGGTATATTCGGAAAATATGAACCACTTTAACTTTAACTATTTGACTTTAAATAGGGAAAAGCATTAATTCGGAATTATTACACTTTGAAAACTTGAAAAGTATGGGAAATATATTAAAAAAAATTCCTAATATACATATGGCATTAAATTAGTAACATATAACGTAACAGCTATCATTAAAACAGCTAAAAACGTAAACACACAAAAAACAAAGATTGCCCAAGAATTTAATTGAATAAAATTTGCGGTGATAAATTAATCTTCGTTATCCTATCTCAGAAAATGACAGATATAATTCTACATAGAATAATTAAATAGTGAAACTCTATTTACGCTTCAATTTCCTCAGCTTACTAACACAATATCACCGGATATTTCTGGCCAAGTGTTGAATGTCCCAACATAAGACCCCTTATAGTCCTGCTGCTAACCAAAAGGAATTAATAATGAGAAAACAGGACATCTCATTTCGCATGCAGTTTGTGAATTCAAGTAATTAACTGAAGTAATCTTAGGATTATGCTCGTTTTTAAAAAATATTTACACAACGACAATCAACTATTTATTTAAAGAAAATAAAACCTCTTTTCTAATGGTTCAAACTCTCCGAAACAATACTTTTTTCGTGGTTTTATGCAACTCACGGCTATACGATTCAGTTCAATATACTAGGAAGATCATAAAAAGAACAGCATGTTAGGTTTGTTAAGGCTTAGAAGCATGAGTTCCGACTCGATAATTGAAATCCTGAAACATGATCTATTTTGAAACTAGTTTACTAAAATACAATGATAATTTATTCAATATTAATGATGGGCTTATTTAACTCGTTTCAGAGCCACCGTGGTTCGTCGCCTGCTATACGCACTTTTGCACCGGACGGTCGTACTTTAGAAGCAGGCGGTCCAGGTCCAAGATCACCTTCACCCCTCCGAGCGGCATCTCTAGACGTCAGAGCAGCACCGCTCGCTCACGGCTCCTTAGCCTCATTAGCGGACTCGCCTGCTCCGCCCAGCCCAAGACATTTGCCACCACGATGCCTCTCACCGCTGTTGATGCCGCCAAGGTATGAATACTTCAGACGCATATTAGACCAGCCACAGACATTATTTCACCACTGCCGCCATCTCTGAGGTCTTAGGTTCTTTCCCAATCAAGTCAATGTAGAAAATGAACTTTTATGTTGTCTTGAGTTTGTTAGTTCTTTCGTTGTTTAAGATATTTACGCTTTAGTTAGTTATTTAATTGTTTAAGATATCCATAATACGCTTTAGCTATTCAGCGAGCAGTCGCCGGGATTACGAAATGAGTTCGAATCCCAACTTAGAGTGCCAGAGACAAAGTGGATTTTTTAAGCATTTTTCATTAAGAATATTTTTCAATGCAAATTTGCCCAAATATAATAAATAACTTCTTTCAAACTGTAGGCTTATATTTAAAAATACTTACTTATGTAAAACGTGTTTCGCAATCAATGATAAATAATTGTAAAAACCGTACATACCTTGTATAACAAATATTCATTATAATATAGTGCCAAGGGTTACCGGCTCAGCAAAAGTTACAGAACCTACTTAACAAGAAAGCATCCACTTACTTGTTTGATCGCTGTTTCAAACTGAGATACAACACTGCTCGCAATATTTTAAACACAAAGGTTTCTTTTCAAGTATACCTTCACTCGAGGTGTATTTATGTTACTATGACACGAAAGGGAATAATAATGAAATTATTTAATAAGCTGTTGATTATTTTATTTAAATAGTAAGATCTTATATTTAACCCATTTTATGTATATATATATATATATATACGTATATATATATATGTGTTACGCTCAAAGACCAAAAGCGCTCATTGGGCGAATAAAGAACTTACAACGCGTAGCGGCGTAGTGGTCACAGTATAATAACTGACACCTAGTAGGGTCCACATCAAAGAAAGCACTGTGCGTTTTGATTAAATATGGTTTCAAACGCTTCATGGCTTTTCTATCATTGCCACAACGCGTTGATAGCGTTGCGGTCTGTCTGTGATTACCACAAAGCTTTGTGAGCTTTTTCATTATAGTCATAACACGAATTTTACGTTGTAAGCTATTTTTTCGCCCAATGAGCAGTGTCAGTCTTTGAGCGTAACATATATAAGGTATTATATAATTATGTGCCAGGACTTCGTGCGGTGGATTAGTTAAATTTACTGAACAACTTTTACTACAAGAGCAACACTGAATTCACGAAAAAATTATCAGCTGTTTCATTCAACATTGTAATACCCTACAGTCACATGGCGTGTAATATAATTAAATCATCCATCTCACGAGGTTCTGACATATAATAAAATTACAGCTTATATATACCTGTAGCCCGCGTATGATGTAGCTTCACGTAGGTGAAAGAATTTTTAAAATAGATCCCGTTGTTTTCAAAGCCCTTTCAATACAAAGATACATTCAAATCTTTATAGTTTAGCGTATACAACTCTAATAAGTGTTGGGTATGTATTGTTACGCTACATATGGTGTTACCAGTACCCGGATATCAGGCGCCGTGTGAGCAGCTACACACGCCGGGTTGGCACAAATTGAAATACCTTAACTCAATTTTCTCGCCTAAAGCCTCGTTCAGAGACGCCCGTGCTTAACCGGGCCTGCTACTCAAATTTCTATAACCACTTCTTATTTAAGTTTTATGACGCTCGGTCTCCAGCGTAGCATCCGCTTTTCACCCACCTCGTACCAATTTTGCACCGATTTCGCTTCCGCCTAGCACTCATCTTGCATCCGCCTTACACCCACTTAGCGCTGACCTTCTCGTTCTCCACTACTGGAGGAGCACAGTAAAACGAAGATTCTTTCTTCTGATGTTAGACTTGACAGTCTGCGTAAGCAAGTGGTTCGCATGCCGGTGATGGTTTCAAGGTGTCGCCATCTCTGAGGTCTCAGGTTCGAGACCCGGCCAGGCCAATGTTTTCTACGTTTACTTTTATTTTTCTATAGTATTTACTTTTCTATAGTGTCTCGGGTCTGGGTGTTGTGGTGCCTTCGTTGTCTCAGATATTCTATAATATAGGAGTTTAGCTACTGACTGTGTGATATTGTAACTATTTTTTTTAGTTTATATCATTGGCCACACAAAACAAAAAAAATGAGTAAAGTTAGTTAGTAAACTGGTAGTAAAGTTAGTCCTTGTATTATAACAAAACAGCAAGAGTCTGGGAGAAAATAATCATACGCACACGAGGTCATTGTAAGATTGACGTGAATACGCGATGTTACGCGACCCGGTAACGGTACATATGAACATGTCTTTAAGAGTAAGGCGATGTCTTCCCCTGTACACAGTGAGAGTACAATGTAAGGGGCTATATTTAGACTAGTGAAAGATACCTATTATGAACCAATAAATTTGTAGACTTTAATTTGAAATACTTTCTACAAATTTAATTTACTGAACCTGCTATCTAGTCTTGAAGATAGTATCTTCAATGGAAACTACAATTGAAAATAGGTAATTTACCGTTTTTTGTAAGACAAGTACTTATACACACTTACTTGTTTCGTACAAATGGCTGTGCTATATGTAACATTATAATTAAATAAGTATTGCGGACCTTCTTGATCTTGAGCAGAATAACACGGACCTAGTCATTGCTGGACTGTATAATGAAACTTCTTCGATAGTGGTAATTCTTGATTCTTCTTTATTTTCTTACCTTGAGGTCCGGAGAGCTTACCAAATTTTGCCCAACCGGCCCTTTTTACATTCACTTGGAGTGACTCGCACTTAGCTACTTACATAAGCAGTTTCTAATCAAATCATCTATTGTTCCCCTGCTTTGCGAAGCCACCCCCCACTAATAAACATTATTCTATCTTAACTTATTCAGATTATAACATCATTATTTACTTTACAATACATTCCTATGTAAATCTTATCCCATCGCGCAAGACGGCATCCATGTAGTAGAATCCTATCAGACACCTGCAGCGAGGTTTTTCCTTAAAGAAAGCTATTCGCCCTTTATTACTATAACACGGATACTAGAAAATTAAAAGATCGTATATTAATATATTAAAATAGCTTATTTTACTAATTACACTACGCTAATACTGTGGATATAAATATACTCTGAGGTGGTATGATTTAACATTACATACAAAATTAATTTATTTTCTATATAATTCAACATCAAACAAACTTAATAAGTATTAATTTGACGAGAATACATAATAAACACAGAGAGCCTTATTTTCTTCTGTCAGTATTATTTTTGTAATTCTAATACATTTGTATGAAATCAGATAATAAAATTTCAGACGGATAGACCGAAGCAACTCGCTAGTTGAGAGCAGTAGCGGTTTAGGACCTCTAAGCCCCGGCGCCGGAGCTGCTATTAGCGCCCTGGGGGCCCTCCAACCAGACCTTTATACGAAGCGGGAAGCGCCCCTTGTCATCGAACTGGAGGGATCTGGACCCTCGCTGGGACGCATCCACCTACGCCTCAAATACGACTTTGATCGGTCTGATTTGGAAGTGCACCTTATAGAAGGTAGATACTGTTCAATTTGGTATTTCAATTAGTGTTGTTTCTTTGATTTATTTAACGAACTTACAATCTTCAGTTTGTTCTTTTTAAGTATGTAGGTTAAAAAAAGCGATTGGTATACTAACCTAAAGATATTTGCTTGTTAAACAGCACACGATCTGGCTGGTTACGAGGCGGGTGGTTTCAATGACCCCTATGTGCGCGTGAGTCTCCTGCCCGAAGTGGACACTCGCGTACGGCAGACACCCGTCCACAGGAACGAAGCCAACCCGTTTTTCGACCAGCACTTTAAGTTCCCAGTCTCCCATGATGACTTGGGTGACAAGACTCTTCTTCTACAAGTATTCGACTATGATAGGTCGGTGGACTCGATGTAACTAAAAATCAATTTCCATTTAAGTACAGCCACCCCTGGTAAATAATAAGTTACTTCTAATCAAACCATTCATGTTCCCACTATTGGATCCCTAAGTGTGGGTGTAATCATATACCTAGGGACCATGTAGTTCCCTTTTTAGTTCCACATAATTAAGGCCCCACATATTAATTTACTTACCCATTTAATAACGTTTATTGTAATACATTCAAACATTTAGTTGTGTTTATATCGTGATAAGCATTATACATTAGTACTCGGTATTTCATCATTTAGCTTTTGGCACACGATATTTTATGCCATTATTAGCTGCCTGTAATATCTTGTCGCCCTAGGCCCGGATCTACTATTGTGGCCTTATAGTTAATTCGCCTCTGACCTAGAGGTATGGGTTATGGGAGATTGATGGATGCTATCGACTCTCTACCGTACCGTGGACGTGCCCACCGAAGTATATAGGAGCTCTTGATAACAACATTTAGGTCAATAATCGACCTTGGCCAAAGTTGATTAACCCCCGTAATTTCAGACAGAATGTTTCCAGCACTGGTTCATGTATCTCTCTTAAAATAGAATGAACCATTATCCAAACATCTTCCAAAATCATCTTAATGTCATATGTTCTCTTTTGGTGGAGAATAGAAGACTGTCATACAAATACCATTCCAGATTTTCTCGTAATGAGGTAATGGGTTCCGCCAAAGTGCCACTATCTCGTGTGGAAGTAGCGGGCGGTGCGGAGATATGGGCGGAGGTGTCACGGGAGCGGCGACCGCCTGAGGAGCTGCAAGAGCTGTTGTTGTCTCTTTCATACCTGCCCTCCGCTGAGAGGCTCACCGTGGTAGTGCTCAAAGCCAGAAACTTACTCCCGCCCCAAGAGGGCAAGGATGCGTTAGGTGAGTCGTTTATGTTACTCTAGCAAGAATAACATTAAGAACTTGAGAGATCAGACAAACAGGTCTATAGAGATATATTTATTGTTAGCCCCTTTATATTGGAGTACTCAACATAATTGATATTTGGGTTTAGACAAAACTTTTCTCAAGTTCGTCATTTTGGAATCCGCAATGCAACTTACCAAAAAATATATTAACTAAAATTTTCGTATAGGCCTCTCTTTGCGCCATTGAATGGCCTCGCAAAATAAAGCCTACCTACATAAAATTTTGATCTAACGCTTCCACTGGCTGTGGGACCGCAAAAAACTGAGGTCTTATGAGTTTTGAAGTATAGCCGTCGCAACGGCTATGTACAAAAATTTATCCATTATTACTTAGTCTTCGAGACTAGCATTTCTTTATTGATAAAGATAAAGAAATGGCTAGCATTTTCAATTAAACTATCAGTAAATATATATATTTCAAAGTACTTATAGCTTCATTCATCAACAAGTGGAGTCAGTTTGCGTATCGTAGTTTGGTCCTTCGAGCCGGATATGGACTATGACAATTTGAACTCGTTTTAAGGGGGATAAATGACCACACACCAAAAATATATTGAATAATAAACTTTAAAAATGGAACCTACTTTTTTAGCGTAAATGAATTGTAATTTAATTCAAATATTATTAGAGTCACGAGTTGAATATGAACAAACTAGAATACCAATAAATTAAATATAATAATTTAATTGAAAACGTTAAAATCGGCCATGCAAATCGTAGACAGTTAACTTCTGTTTTTTTTTTTTGGGTAAAATGTTCTATAGTCACATGTATTGATCAAAATTGTATTGGATTTTTTTTTTGTTTCAGATGTATATGTTAAAGTGTATCTACTAGTGAACGGGAAACGTGTGAAAAAGAAGAAGACTAATAGGAAAGAGATAAATAATCCTGTCTGGAATGAGGCGCTGTCTTTCAGTCTGCCGTCCGCCAATCTCCAAGAGGCTTCCATTGAGGTATAATATACTAATGAGTCTTACTATAATCGATAAAAGTAATTACCTACATGATAATATGTAATTTCACCAAATAAACAAGAATGTGAATAAATTAAGAACCGTTAATAGTTAGAATACTATTCACCATCATCATCATCAGCCCTGTTACGTCCCCACTGCAGTGGTTCAGGCCTTCCTTATTGATGGTTGAGGAATACCATCAAGGAGAATACTGTTACGAAGCGCAGTTGTGCGGTGACTACTTGTTACTAAATAGTGTTATATGTCATTTGAATCGCGCTAACGCCGTTGGAACTACGTGTGTCATATACATCGGAAGAAAGAGACAGGTAGCCGTTCTAAAATTGATGAGTAACGTCATGAATACACCGGTAGGGCCTAAGCCAACCTAAAATGTACAAGATTTGGCCGACGGTCCCTATAAATACGCGGTGTACTGCCCATCCAGGAATTCTCTCAGTGACCAGAAGGAGTTACTTTGTTTATCTACGAACGAAAATTACAAAAATTTCGAGTCGTTCTTACATTTTTTTTAAATCTTATACGTTATTAATATCTGTGCATCAGAAGCAGTGTCAGGGTCCTACCTCCGTTCCATTATTCATTATCGAAAAATGTGTTCATTTGGGGTCGTATTAGGGTTTCGAAAATAAATGGATTTTCGTTTTCGAAGAAACAGTGTAGGCCTTCAGTGAACTGAAATCGAGAGCGAATACAATGGAACCTTAAAGCGAAAACTAGTGCTGTGAACTATCCGGACAATCAGGTAGTGTTGTAATTTTGAAGCAAAGTAACAGTAGTGACGTGAATAAGTGAAGTCGACATGTAATTTTTAAATTGTTAAATAAAGAGTAGGTCGGATTGCGAATTAAATTGGCGTTATTTGTTCACCACCTAAGTTGTAACAATATTATTGTAAGCTATCATGAGTTCTCACTTCATTCAAATTCTCGTCTATTGATTAAGAATATTTGCTTAAATTTTGCAATTACTTATCTCGATACGATAAGAGTGTTAGACTATACTTGTGACAGTTTATTGTTGTGGTTCTATATCAGGTGTGCGTGGTGGCGGGCGGCGGCGGTCTAGTAGTCGGGTGGTGTTGCGTCGGTGCCGCCGAGCCCGGCGCGGAGGGCCGCCACTGGGCGCAGGTGGCGCACGAAACGCGCAAGGCCGTCGCCATGTGGCACACGCTCAGGTAGACGGACTACCACGCCGTGTGAACCTACCCACCGCGTACGCTGCACCTCTACTAACGAGCACAGATCGTAAATCAAGCAAGAGTACATCCGAACAAACTAATCGTCGAGTACGCAACGCTGCCAAGTTATTACTATAAAGCATCCCACTGATACACTATTTTTATATATAAATGGATACCCCTAGTCACAAATAAATATTTACATTTAAATGATATATTTACACTGTTCGATTAAATCAGCACGCAGAATGCGGGACTTTTGCGCGCTCATCTCATTGGTCAATAAACAGTGACTGTCCAATGAAAAGTAACAGAAATAACACACACATCGCACTCGGATATCATTGAACAGTGTAAATGCGCCATTAGAGTTGGCAAGATGTTTAGAAATCTGACATTAGAAACAAATTATTGCCTGCCGTTGATTCCAATTTTAACGGTCTAAAACGACGACGGTCCGGCAAGGCAGCCGAATGTTGAAAACTCTTTCGTTACATTAAATCGGTGCTCATCATTTGTGTCACCATAATGAGGAAGTATTTAAAAAAAAACAAAAGCACTAAAAAGCCCTTACACTAGATGGCGACTCAAGCAAAAGTTGTTTTTTGCAGGAAACGAATGGGCCAAAGACAGTCATTTCCGTTCCTTTTAACTAACATATTAAAAAACTGAAATTTGAAAAGTTCGAAACTTATATATCAATACAAATACGAAAAAGTACAAATAGAATATGAGTGTTTACTGAGTTTTAAAAACTAATTTACTTTTAAACATGAAAGAAAACCGGAAGAGTTTTCATGGAGAAATCAAGTATGTACCGTAGTGACATTTAGTTTTATTTCGGGATCTAATTTTTTTTTTAATACTTCCTAGGTACAAGTGACGATCAGCTAATCAGCCGGCGACATTCCACTATGTGTACTAGTTATAGTACACAGTGGCTCATTCTCGTATTTTTTAAATAGTATATCTCTTTTTGGTGAAAGTTTGTATTAGCAAATCTATTGCCTACAAATGAAACTTTATAACAAATCTGAACGTTGTGCTTTCCTTATTACAGTGGTTTAAATTTATCTTGGAACAACCTCTTATAAAAATCCTAGCTACTGTTCCCTGACTCTGCATAACGATTCTCACCAGATGAATTTTTACAAACACATTCATAAAGAGCATATTGGATTACTCAAAATTTCAAATTACGAAAGGTGAATAATAAAAAGAAATGATGTTGAAGACCAAAGACAAAAAGTTTACATGCATATATCCACAGCTGGGCATTAACTCGTTAATCCGTTAATTAACGAAGTTAACATTTCGACTAACGGATTAACTTTGAAGTTAACTTTAAAAAATGTTAACGGACTCATTTACTTCCGTTAACTTACGCTAAGTCTGTTAATCGTTAATCCATCATCCACTTTTTACCAAGCACCTTGCCACAGCGACGATGACGAGGAAGAAGACTTTTTCAATTCTGTCACTCAGTCTATAGTAAAACCTAAGAGTCACAGATCTTTAAAAAGTAAAGCTCAAAAACTCGTCAAAATATGGCTTGACATGAGATCAATCGACGCTTTCAACGATGCAGCATTCCTTGGAGAACAGATTTTTGTGAATCTGTTTGTTAAATATAATAGTGCTATTCCCTCAAGCGCTGCAGTTGAACGTCTTTTTTCCACGGGAAAAGATATTTTAACGCCGAAACGAGCCTCGCTTTCAGACGAGAACTTCAACTAATTAAAGGGCAATGTTCACATTATGACAGATGTCTAAATTACACACTTGAATTATACACCTCGAGTTTTTGTTATTAGCCCGTTAACTTCCAGAACGGAAACCAACAGTTCTTACGAGTATATCATTATCATGACGACATGATAATTTTTTTTATCATGTGTTAACGGATTAACAATTAACGTTAACTTGCGTTAATCTTTCGAAATGTAAAGCTTTAACGTTTAACGACGTTAATTTTTAGTAACGGATTAGCGATTAACGAAGTTAATCATTTGATTAACGGTGACCAGCTTTGCATATACCTAAAACGAAATAAACGGTGGTACGGCGCACCGTTACACTCATACTAGAAATAGTCATCAAACTACATCAAAGACGGTATTTTGATACCGTATGACTAAGATAATAGTATGCCCAATTGCGCACACCTTACATTAAGCCGTGAGTATTACATTATTTCAACTTTGATTGGCAGACAAACCAATATAGATATTGGTAGCAAAATCCTAAAGGTATCCTTACTTTCTTTACCTACAATAGCAGCACGAAAGGTTCTGTTTTATGTAACAGGTACTTCTAAGATTATTTTTAATATAATATACTGCAATAAATGCAATATTATAACACAGATTTTATAATGATTATAATTCATACAATTATTATGCATTCAAGTTTATCAAATTAAGGTGGTATTCCCTCTATTCAGATACTCAGACTGTATAAGCCTATACTTAATAAGGCACTACTGCACAAAATGATATTCCGATTACACTTGATAATATTACCTACAGTTAAAGGCCTTACCAAAAACTCGGTAATGCCGATTGCACACCACAATGTCAATAAGAGGTTAACTCAGCCCAAATGAACTTTGTTTACAGTGTTTGAGCAATTTGTACACACTAAGCAGAAATCTACATTTGTTACCATACCTACCTTTGCTAACGACATTGTGTTGACTTCTCTTCGTCCAGACGGTGCACAAGCAGGGTTGCTATCTGTTCAGTTTTAGCCGGAAATATATCTGGCATCCGTCAAGACTTTTTTAGCGTAACTCGAATGTGTGATCTAATAATAAACTACCTATTTAATTAACTAGGAACAGAATTATAAAGTCGTGTCGAAAATTAACAGTGCACGTCCGGCTTTATAAAATTAATATTTGGCTATTATATTCTAAACCAGAGCAGTTTGACATTTTTTATTGTAAGTAGAAGATGATAACCCATGTACACGGGTATTCGCCACCTCTACTCCTTCGACTTCATCTATTTTGCAAGTTATATATGTAATTGTAAAAGTCGCATAAATTACCCATTTGTCATTTCGCCTGCAATTATTGAAAACGGTTTCAGTAGTGGCGCCTAATTGTAGGAATAGTTAGGTATATTATTTATCCATTTACTGACCCCCCACGCCCCCTCCTCCCTTTAGTGAAATGGATGTTCGTAGAACATTATACCTGACGTATTATCCTCCTCCACTCCCTTTCGAGCCTGCACGTGTGTTACATGGCCGGCCCTTTATATATATAACCGAAAAGCGGCGTCAAAAAATAGTATAAATTGCAGAAATAACCCATTGGTAATTTTAAGGTACTTACGTGGCTGAATGGATTGTCATTGTCAAATTCTGAAGCGACTAAAATTGTGCCACACATAACGAATGGAGTTAAGACAAATGTTGTTAATATAAATAATTCTTTTGATTTTAATTTTCAAATTAGAACATTAACTTCATTATTGACACCCAACGTCATAGTAACAAAAATTCTTGGTAAGGCCTTGACTTGGCTCATACGACATTTTTACGTAAGCATGCAAGTTATTTCTCACTAAATATTATCTAAACACAATCTTCTCAAGAGACTCTAAACATGTTTAACTTATGACGAGAAGTGAATAATAATACTTATTAAGTAATTGATAAAGGTGATTTTACAATAGCTTAACTATCCCTTTCCCTCCTGTATACTGTCCAACTGTGTTAACTGTGGGCATCCTCTTACGCTTATAATAACTTCCTATAAACGATAATAAGAATTTTGAGGCATATTTATACCAGATTTTCTATCAAAATATCTCTATGAGTCTACCTGTTAGATAGTGTTATTAGAAATGTGTATAATATTTATCTTCAATGGAGAATTGTAAAAATTTTAGGGACACACTTTACAAACTGTTATGTATCTACTGTGTGATTGAGCTTGTGAAACACCAAACTATTCTTATGAGTGTGTAGAATTTTATATCTACGTATTATTTTGAGGAAAGATACCTAAATGTATTAGTAATATGACTGGGTCGCCCTATTTTCAGACTATTGATTTATATATTAATTATCTCACATCTGCGTGGTTTGTGAAACAGGGGTCAAACATACCATGAGCTTTTAAAGGCTATGAAAAGCATTTCAGGTGGACCGTGGACCGGCCCCTCCACCTAGGCCGGCGTGGCATAATCTGTTCGCTCTAATTATTTGAACTAACGCAGACCTTAAAACAGATTGATCTCATTTTTATCCATATCGGAGGTATTAAAGTGCAATATGAATTGTCATTGTCAAAATTATACCAAAGTACATTCGTTTTTATTCCGTTGTGGTGACAGCGCTGTCTCATAAATATACGATATCGCACTCTATTCTGATTTAATCGCGTTATAAAGCTCATGTTATAACCCCAGTTGCTTTAATTCTTATAACAAAAGTGCTTTATAACAAAAGTTTTTAGCACATAAATCATCAGATGCAAATAGACAATCGAGCACAAATGTGAAGTTTTTGTATTAGGATACTTTACGATACAAAAACAAAAATTTATGCTGCGAATTCTATTGTTTCATGTTTGTCAGATATCTATAAAAATACCTACAAGATTGATCCTATTGCTGACTTCTCCGCGCCCACAGTTGTTCTTTCGAATGTCTACCTTATATCTATAGTGCATTGTGTGATCACCCTTCTATTTAAGGGTTTTTATCAATAAAATTATATCGAATTTTATTAAAAAAATATATACGTACATATTTTTATCTAAATGTATGTATGTGTGAAGGAAAAATATTTTATTTGTATTTTCTTTACAATGTCTAAATAAAATGTCTATTTGTAAAATTACTCTGCGTTTTATTTCTAAAAGGCAGCAACACATACCAGTGTAAATAAAACCAACTTTTACAATAACTTAAAGTCTTTATTTTAAAAAATTTACAGTGTGTACAATTTTAAAACTTGAAGATATAAAATATGTTTTTTTATACAATCATTAACCATTTAGTGCCGTAGTTGGAATAGGAACGCGTGATATCCAAACAAAATCCACGGGAACACTACACATACTCACTAATAAAGTTACTCGCAACTTACCAATGCCGGTGCCGTCAGGTCCCGCCTTTGGATCTCCAACTAAAATTGCATATCGATACGATATTAAACTTCGCTACTGCAGTCTGGGACTCGCAATAAATAGCCTATTATTTAAAGGTACGTAAACTTATAAAACAAAACTAACAAAAAAAGTAGAATAATAAGAAGTATATCACGTTTTAAAACCAATTATAATAAAATAGCCGATAAGTAAGAGCCATGCAAGATTAATAAAATAATTATCTAATATCACATTCATATTCTATGGCCGACGTGGAACCAAAGGGGTTAGGTCACTTTATATAAAACTTATCAGATTATTATATAACAAATGTGATACGAAGATTCTCTATAAATACAAATTAATGTGTACACAAAAATAAAGAATTACGACAAATGATGTAAAAAATGTGTGTCATATACTTTACATATAATTGTCGATTCCTCAACAGGTCCAAGAGAGGGGTGAACAGTATTTTGTGTGACATGTTTAGATATATGTATGGATGTGGTGTTTATGGCTGTTTTGTGTATGAACGTGAATGTCATTGAGCAGAAGGGATTTTCGGGTGTAAGTATTTGCAATCGGGGTCCTTGCAGATGCCGCCAACTTCGAACGGGCAGAGAAAACTATTGGGATCCTCCGCCCAGCTGAAAAATACACAATTTGAAGGCATTATGTATACATTGAGGGCCCGAATGTGGACAGAATTAATGCATACTTACATCGCATCACGGTACGATGTGTGTACACATTGTTCATCCACATTTAATATCGATCGACGAATTTCTTTATGTAAGCATGCACAATTTCCTCTTAAAAGTGAAGTGAAGTCCATTTTAATATAAATCATCTTCAAAATTATATTTTAATTCGTATCAACTTAATAGCGTCCATCGTTTTATAGATCGAAATCTACATTAAATTTAACAAGACAGGCGACGTCTTAAACCATAATACTCATTGCATTTTGTTACACTATCACATGACAAATAACAACTCAAAACAAACGACGTTACCTAAATGCTGCACTCGGTACACAATATTAGCTCGATTACCATGTTTGCTCATTCAAATATCTTTATTTGTATCCATTTAAGTATTAAGAGTTCTCTTAAGCAACAATTAAAGGAAAATTATGTCTGTGAACGCGGCAGTAAAGACCTTAGGAGTTGCGCGCACTGAAGAAAATAATACGTATCCAAAACAAAATCCATAAATTTGTTTGCATACTATGGACTTATAATCCTAAGCACTAGGAAAAACTCTCTGCGGAAAAAATCCGCAATGCGCGTTGTATTTAGCTCACATGGCTTCCAATCCTCGAATGCCGATATCTCGGTATTCTGAGATGCCGTGCTATTTTCTAGTCCTATTTTTTGCTGTCGCTATTTTCTAGGAATTTTTAACTCATGGCTGACCAGTGACCCTGCTGTGTGAATAACCTCAGTTTTTTACAGATTAAATTGACGAAGTTCAAAATTTGGCTTTATGTTCATACTCATCTCGTTCTAATAGCAAAAGATCAACTTATATATGCGGGATGTAGCAAATGCCGAGATTCGGCTTGGACTTAAAAGTGTTAATTCCAGGTAGATAGACTGCAGGTTTGGACGCCTTAGTTCATACAGTACATTTAGAATCAACAGTCGTGGTTAAAGCTATTTACTTATGATTTGAATTATTCATTCATACACAGGAAACCACAGTTGTGACGTCAACGTCGACCGAAACGCAGTACGGAATTAATACAATCACCTACTCTAAAAGTAACAAGTGTGCTAGTTCCCTAACCAAACTCAAATGAGTGGAACTATACCCAAAGCAATACTTACCTATTACAAATCGCATTTCAATAGAATTAGAAAGGAGAGCCTATGTATTGAAAATCAGAATCATACACCCGGTTTCTGAATTGAGAATTTAAAGTAAAGGACGCCTCAAACCGTCCTTAAAGCATCTTCACACTCAAAGAGGTTTTTGTTGCAAATTTTTTTTAGAATAATTATTTGAGATTTTGTACTTTTCTCAGTTCAGAAACCGGGCAATAATCATATTTGAAACACGTACTGTCGTACTGTATGTGTTTCGAACTTATTAGCAGCGGAAACAGTAATTTATATTTAGCTCTCAGCTGGTGGTGTGAAGAAGACTAATGAAAATTGGCATGCAAATCAGAAAAAAAGGCAAACACAAAACTTACGTTCCTCCATGTAATGACTCTAATGGTGATTTATAATCATCAATAATAGACTTTTCAATAGTGGTGTCTTGAACTGTTATATCCATCCCACCACCTTTTTCCACCTCAGGATGAAGGGTATCATTTTTTTCTAGTCCATTCAGTTCACTTGGTTTTTCAGCATTATTAATATCAACTGTCCTTTCTTTCATAGTGCATTTTGGCATTTTTACAACTTTCTTATTATTACTAACGTCAATCTGAACGGACAACATTGCATTTGTTGTGTTATCCTCTTTCAAATCATTATGGACACTAACTTTTACTGCTTTTAAAAGTTGAGGATTCTTATATTCTTCTTTTCTTGGATTATTTTCTTTTTGTAATTTTACATTTGACATACTTTTAATATTATTTTTATTTACATTTGGCATGTTTATTTTGGAATGTTTAAGAGAAGATGATCTGAAAATAAAATTTCAAAGAAGAATCCACGAATAAAAAATATAGTATTTTTCATATTATTATTATATGATGTTGATCAAAGGGGCCAAAACAACAGAACATAAGTACCTTTTCAAAAGCATTTGATGTTGCAGTCTAATTGTTGATAATTTGTTTTGTATTGCCTTTTGTTGCTTTTTATTAAATGTAATAGCAGTTGATATGTTTCTTAATTCAGTCTCAACTATTTTATATTTTTGAGTTAATTTAGTTGCCTCTTCTTTCAGTTTTAACATTTTTGAGGACTCCTCAGCAATCACTTTTCTGCAATTTTTTTATTATTTTCAACAATTATGACAGCTTATAAGGTTACCAAACTAATTAGACTAGATTATAAATTGGTATATTGCATTTATAACAGCATAGAAGGTAAATTAGTATCTTGTAAGGATTACACTTACAACCAAATTTTTTTATTTTAAATGATCAGCTGTTTACAATCAGAAAAATTTAATCAAAAACCAACTTAATCTAATAATTTATCAGAATTATATTATTCCAGAATAACTTTGTTTTTCAGTTAAATTTTAAGTTTAAATTAGGTTATTAGAAAATAAATCATACCGTGATGAAGCAATTTGCTCTTCTAAGTTCTCAATTGCATTATTTTTTATAGTGTCTATGGTTACATTACGCGGTTTCAAAGTATCTTTTGCTTGTACAGGCATTTTATTTAAATTCATAGAGGTCTGTCTTGCTTGTTTTATTTTTTCTAATTCAGCCATCCTTTTCACTAAATTTTTGTATTCAATTTGTTCAGATTTAGGTAAATGTTTTACAGCCTAAAAAGAAAATAATTACTTGGTATACTAGTGCATAAATCGATACACCCTCAGACAGTAATAAATTACCAACCTTAGCTACAAACTTTGGAGTAGACTTCGGTTGTTCAAGTGGTCTTTGGATAACATCAGGTAAAGTTTTCTTTTCTACTTCCATACGTGTTGACTTTAAAAATAAATCTAGTTTTTGTTGAAAATCAACTTGTTCTGATAATTTCATATGCATTTTAGTCAAATTTTTTGTCGCCTCATGTTCACCTTCAGAATCTGATTCACCTAATTTAATAATAAATGGTTTTTCTTCTGGTGCTGTACTCGTTTTACTATTTAATAGTTCTGTTTTGGATTTGACATCATCGATATTATTTATTATATTAGGATGTATTAGATTAGGTAAATTTTTACTCAGAGAAGTTAACAATTTGGCACGCAGTAAATCCTCATCTTCATCCATTTCATCCTCTTTAGATTTTTTCGCCATTGGAATGTCAGATAGAGCATTGTTCTCTTTTTCGGATACTACTTCTCGTTTTGTTTCTTCAATTATACCATAATTATTGGATAAATCTTTAAGTTTGTCATCACCATCTGACCCTATATCCATATCAACAGATTCTATATCAGTATTATTATCAGCTTCAACTTCATTGCATATATTACTGTCTTGAATTTGGAATTCATCTGGAAAAGATTGCGATAATCTTTTTCTTAGCCTTTGTTTTTGCTTTGCTTCAATAGCCTTCTTCAAAAGGGCTGATTTGAGACAAATAATTCTTAATTCAGCTGTATCACTATCTTCATCTTCTGAAATATTTTGAGGTTTCTTTTGAGACACTTCAACATCTAGATTTGGTTGTTCTGTTTTTAATTTAGTAACTTTAGTCTTTAGAGCATGTTGTCTCAATAATTCTAAATCTTCATCAGAATCTGTGGTTGCATCCTTTTTTGTCTCTATATTGTTTTTCTCTACAAATACAGAATCAACACAATCATTTCCAGTTATATTGCTTGAAAATGTTGTATCATCTTTACATAAATCAATTATATCATTTACTTTAGAGTCTAAAACATCAATAGAAATGTGTTTTTCATCAATGTTCTTATTGGAAAGGTCATTGTTATTGGAATTACCAGATGCATTAAGAGACCAATCCAAAGACTTTGTGATATCAAAAATTATGTTTTCTTCAATTCCTTCTTTAATTGGCTCATAGTTTTGATTACCACACAACATTTTCTCTAATCTATCTTTTAATGAAGAAATGTCATTTTTGTCTTTAGTGACTGAGACTGCATTAGCTAATTTACGCCTTTTGTTTCTGTATTCATCCTCAGATTCTTCACTTGATTCACTTATATTTTTTGCCACAGATCTTTTCTTAGTACGATGTGACTTTTTCTTATGCTCTTTATTTTTTCCAACATTAGATATGGTTGATTCTTTTCTTTTTTTATGTTTACGATGAATACTTACATGTTCCTGTTTATAATTTTTATTTTCAACTAAAAATCTAGGGTATTCATCTTCTTTATCAGAAATATCAGATAAATCATGTGACACAGTATCTGTAATTCTACATGCACCTAAAATGAATATCAAATTAGTTGCAATTTACAAAGTTTTAATTAGAAATGTACTTAAAGCAGCTTAGCATATGCAGAAGCAGCTCTTAATTTAACTAATACCATATTGGCCTGGAATCATGATAATTTATAAAAGAGCCGTGTGCACACCACAAAGCTATTAGTTTAACATTAATACATGAATAAATCGGTAGGGGCTTTAAATAATCTTATATTTTGGTTTGCTACTGAAAAAAGGTTAAGAACCAGACCTAATATAAATCAGTAAAATGTTTACAATTTTATTTCACATATTAAAGATACCTTTTTATTATAAACTTACCAGGTTCACTAAAAGAAGTCTTGGCTTTCTTTCTTTCAAGAACATTGTTATAATTTTCTAGAACTTGTAACCTCTGACGAAGCAAAAATTCTTCCTCAGACGATATATCAGAAAGGTCATCTAAATCATCAACGATTTCACCCTCTTCCATTTCTGAATCAGCATTAGCCGGTGGTATATTTTCAATACAAGCCATCCTGTATAAAGAGAAAGTGTGCTGTAACACTTGCATTTTCATATACCTTCAAAGAAAGCTCAGCCTTACCTTTATCGTTGCTGCAAACTAATAAGTAAAAACATGTAAATCACTGTGATTACATTCTATGCAACTTCATTAGGTATCAGTTAAAACATTCTGCTATATTACCATTAGTATCCTCCAAATATTAGAAAAAAACTTTAGCAATATAACTCAATTTTCATTACAATAAACAAAACTACGAATCTCGTTTTATTAGCCCATATGTTAATAAGTGTTTAAATTCTTTTTTTTTCTTATAAGCTACGTATAACGAAAATCAACGCAAATAGGAGTTCCAGACATGTTCCAGAAAACAGAAAAACCTTCTTTTTTAATTCATAGCCATTTGCGTTTACACAATTCCGCCAATGTCACGTTTTTGTTGCCTTCACACGTAAAGAAACAATAATTTTGAATTTTGAGATAAATTGTAAAACAAAAAAAAATATAAACGCATCATCATCTGGTTACATACTTAAACATGAACAAAGAGAAAATGAAAATAAAAATATTATTCAGTCACACTAAAATGGTAAAAGCACAGTAATAGGGATTAATAATAAATCGAATTGAATTTCAAAATTCACAAACTCGATAATCGATTTTTTTTTTTATTAATATTTTGCGATCTTGATTTTTAAAACAAACAGTCACATTGTATGCGCGCACTAAAATCTAAATAATAATTTTATGTGAGACAAGTTTATAAAATTGATCTTAAAGTACATTTAGTCAAAATTTTCTCTAACAGTAATTGACTTAAAGACTGATCTAACGAGCCCAAACACGATGCAGTTGCGTCATTTCATCACTAAGTACCTATGACTACCTACCGACTTCATCATCATATCAGCTTACTGATACCATAATATTGCATTGCCGTCTGACGTACATGTCTATACAAAATTTCAAACCTATTAGAAATTGGGAAGTGGGTCAAATTTGAGTTCCAAGATTTGTCCACTAACTAACAAGGCAAGTTAAGGAAAAGTTTGTTACAGTAAAATAGATTTATGTTAGCTAATAAGCCTACGAGCAACGTGCAAATTTTACATCAGCAACAAGTGGAAAATTCAAAGAAAATAATGGTAATTTATTTTATTTAGTGAAGACTTAGTGAAGACGAAGCAAGAAATACACCAATGACATTTTTGTTTAAGTAAATAATAATTTTATATGTATAGAATTGATAATTTCAAAGAAATTTTTATTTTATTTAGCCTGACGAAACTGATTTCAATCAAAAATAATAATTTTATAATTTTCACACTGGAAAAGGAACTGGATTATAAATCTGCTAGATGTAAGTACCACATTCGTTTTCAATTTAATATTAAATTATAAAAACAATTACTCTATTAAAACAAATTGAAGGAAAAAACCTCCGTGTAAAATTTTAACAAGTTATCGTAGTCGTTTCATGACCCAAAAACAGATCTTAAGCTCTACCCAGCAGAAGCAATGGACCTATTGAATATGTAAAAGTTAAATCGTATCGATTCATCACTGCTTACCGAGACGAGTTCTACTGAGCCGTAGTCTAAATGTTTTTCTCTTTAGTATTCGACTCCCATTTCTCGGAACAGTGAACTTATTTTTTCCAAAATATCAAGAGAGTTAATAAAATAGTTCAATTATTTGAATAGAAACATAAAATCCAATATTGTCCTGTGGGCGTGGAGTTTAGTCATTTTATAATAGGATAGACAGGACTCGTAAGTTGAAAGAATATAATTTCAACAAATTAAATTGCAAGTCTGGATTATTTATTAATGAGATTGACATGACGACGGTAAAAAGTTAATAATTTTTATTAATTTGCAGCTATGTATCTGCCTTCTGATTATAATATTTGCTCACCATTTTTTATAATAGAATTTATTTAATTGTAGTTATCGCTTAATAACCCTTTTGTGTAAGTTTTTTGTTACATTGGATTGGATTTCAGAGTATATTTAATGTACAATCTTATTTCTGATGTATAAATATAGTTTCAAATCCTATGCAATTAGTGACGTGTAAAACTATACTATTAGTACCAATTGTCAAAAAGTTTATGAAACATAAAATTAGCGAATAACATCAATGAACGGTATAGGTTCCGGGAAAATTTAGATTTATGACCTAAAAATTTAGATTTATGACTTGGATGAATAGCCACCCAAGAGTCCAACGAAAGGTCAACAGAGGTCAAATAACTTTGCTTCAACCAATAGTTCTGAGTTTGGCCTCCAGTTCTTTTAGTTTATCTTCATGTTTTAAGCACGTGTGCAGTAAAGGATTTCAGTACATTTTTATTTAACACGTGTTTAAAGACTCACTTTCGGTGTGTACATTGGATTAAAAAAATAGCACTTTATGAGCAACTGCATTAAAAAATTAGTTATTTGTATGCATTATTTAATATATAATAAATTCAATAAAAATAATATGAATTTTGTTATTGTGACGATAAATGCTAAATCTGCACATTTATTTACTCTTAGGCTGAACGAAGTTCGCCGGGTATTTGTTTTTATTGATAAGGATTATTATTTATTTTTGTCAAATAATCTTGCTTTTGTTGTTGAGCATATTTCCAGGGTAAACGAAATGTCTATTATACAAAAAGAAAACAAAAAATATAATCAAGGAATGTGATCTCGAATTTGATTGTTAACGTCCCTATTTACGGTCTGATAACATTAAACCATTTAGTTAGTACTATATAACGAGCGAGCGAAAAGCGAGCCGAGCGAGATATCAAGTACAGATGTTATTAGTCCCTTTCTAATAGGGCGACAATAACATTTTAATAAAGTGAAACTTTCATACTGTTTAGTTTTTTAACTACTGCTATTAATATGTTACTGCTACTATTTTAATATGTTAGTTAAAAGGAATGGAAATTACTGTCTTTGGTCCATTCGTTTCCTGCAAAAAACAACTTTTGCTAGAGTCGCCATCCAGTGGAGATGCTTTTTTAGTGCTTTCGTTTTTTTTTTTGACGTGGATACGTCTATGTTTTCGTTCTACAGGGGGGTCATTCTGTGAGCAGGAGTATATGCACTAACGCCATCTATTGGCGTATAAGTGAACTATGCTTGCTCTGCAGGGGGAGGGGCATTCTGTCAGCAGGAGTATATGCACTAACGCCATCTGTTGGCGCTAGTGAATACTTTTTTCATTCAACAAATGAACGCAACGAATATTTATTTATTTAGTGTTTAGTGTCTTCAATTTGTTTATTTTTTTTTTGAATTATTCATTTATAAATGCAATTATGCCACAACGTTGCATAATTCCGGGTTGTTTTGGAGAAGCGAATCGTTCAGTTTTTAGAGTGCCAAAGAACATTGATAGACGTGAAGAGTGGTTAAAAGCTATTCGTGATGTGTTTCCTAACCTGGATGTTGGTGAAAATTTTTATGTTTGTGAAAAACATTTTAAAGAAGCAGATTTTACGGCATATATAATTGACAAATCTGGAAAAATTATTCAAAAGGTATCATTATAATATACAATACAATAAATAAAAAAAAATAGCTTTATGCCATACGTATGCATATGTACACATCCATCTACGAACACGTAAATATAGCTTTATATGCGTTAGCAATAAAATGTAAAATATTTTTGAGTGAATTTGCTAATCTTTAAATAAAAATAAATAAATTCGTGCAAATTCAAGTAATAACAAAATCGTCGAAAATGGCCCCAATATGAACAAGCATGAATATTTTTCATATCATCGACCTATACTCAATAAACTCTATTTAAAACATTAATAATTAGTATTATTTTTTTTTTATCAATTACTCATATATCCATTCATACATAGACGTATCCACGCATAAAATATGGCTGTATCAATGATACAGCCAACCAGGGTTTTTTAATACTTCCTCATTATATATCGACTTATTTTATCGACTTATATATCGACTTAAAATAGTTACAATTAAAATACAAGTATGTCCACAGCGGTAAATGTATTTTAATTAACATTATTAATCAACAATATTTTTTTATAATGACTTGTCATTTTGATGAAAGAACGAGATACACGGCCTCCGTTTTGACTATCTCTCTCGTGAAAAATACACTTTAATTGATTGTATTAAAGTTCATTTTAATGCATTCATAAAAAGTTCTATTATATTAGTACTACGTTCATTCATTGGAAATTGATTGGATTGAATCGTAGATTTATTATTTTTATGATATTTTCTAACTAGACGTCTCATTTAACAACAGGCACTTGTTTGTTTCTATAATATTATTCTATGGTTTCTTTCAGAAAGAATTTAAATGCTTGGTTTGTGTTTGAATAGTGTGAAGTCTGTTATTAAAAGTAAAGAATTTGATCGTAGTTAAATTTTTTTTATAAAAGGATTCATTCATATGCATTCATTTATTACCTTCTTCTTTCTTACTCTGTGCATACCTACAAAGTACTTTGTGATACCTACTAAGTCTGTGCTCTGTGCATTAATTACTCTTTGTTTACTATAAGGTTTATTTATTTTTCCGAGTGTTTATTTCTGTAAATAAGTATAGATACTTAATTACTTATTTGAAAAAAGTAGACCTATTTCCAATCTTATAGTTGAGTCCCAAATAAGAATTATGAGGGAGGATAATGATGATTACAAATTTGCCGCTTGTACTTTTTTTGCTAAAGACCATCCAGGAGAAACTTGCGGCAGCAACGGCCTACCGCTAACACCAAGTTCAGTCACTATTATAGGCCAAGCGCAGCGATTGCTCATTCTAAAACATCCAAATTTGTGCACATATCTGGACATCATCCGGTGTAAACATGGTTTGTTTCAAATCAAATGGGTCAAAATAATCTTTTCTTTAATCAGCAAAATCCTCTTAAAATTTTTGGACTTTCAACTATATTCTTAAGTGATAATCAGTAATTATTAAGTGTAATAATATTTTTAAGTGAATTGTAATAATTACTTTTTTTGTAGAACGAATTATTGTGGTAGCAGAAGTCATAGGGAAATCTCTTAAAGAAACTAAGTCAAAATTTTCTTTTGAAGAAATAGTAAACATTGGCTTGCAAATTGCAAATGCATTGAATTTTTTACATAAACTAGATATAACACACAGAACACTGTCAGATGATAATATTTTAATAGACAGTAATGGTCAAGTGAAGCTTTTCAACTATGGTATGAATTACATGACAAAAGAAGGAAATGAAGTGGCTTTTCCTATTGGGTATGTGGTAAAATTGACAGTTATAATTATTTAGAACCAGGCCTGGCCCGTAAATATGTGCAAACAAGGCAACTGTCTAGGATGCTTGTATTTGGGGGTTGGCATGGTATGGCAAACAGGCTATATTTGCTCTTAATTATTGAATGTTAAAAAGTGATGCATTTTTATGATTCAAATAATTAAGAGCAAATATAGCCTATTTATATATACAAAAATATTTTCTTATAGCTTTAAAAGAAATAATTTTTGTTCTTCATAATTTTGTGTTCAAAAAGTACAATTTTCGGACCCAAGTACCTAAGGAGTTTATTTTGTTAATGGCAAAATTACTTTACATCTTTTATTTTGTTGTGATGACTTTAGGTTTGTAATATGTGTATGATGAGTATTTACAATGTTTTCTTATTAAAAGTTCTGTTTTTTTCAAAACCTATGCAAGCACACAAACAAACAGGAGAGATTATCTCTTTTTAACATTGGATTATTAATCTTTGTAGAAATTTCAGAGTGAAATTCCATATCTGGATTCTAGTGTAATCCTATTCTATTGGAATGTATATTGGAAGGTAAATTTCAGGATTCCAAGATATTTTAGTCCAGAGACAATACTAAGTGGAGGAGGACCATCTGCAGACGTGTGGTCCTTTGGAATTATCCTTTTGGAATTGTGTATAGGAAAACTATGGCAGAATTTAAAACCAGGTCCTATATTACGGAGAATACTCACATTGGTCCATGCTGGCAATGCTGCAGAGAGAATTGCTAGAGAAAATGATTACTATGATATTTATAAGGTTAATTTTAATTTCATTAATTATTTATACATTTTTGATCTTAGGGTTGGTGGGATCATATCTGATGAAGATTTTTCATGTCTTATTGGTTGTGAAATGTACTAATACATTAATCTGTGAAACTCTTGATAGATAATCTGTCAGTTTTGCACCTACACCTACTAATAATTAATAATTTCCTATAGCGGCTTCGCCCGCGTGTTCCGCTGGTATCTTCCTCATAGATCACCTCCGCCTGGGTGACGCCCACTTCGCATCGGGCCGTGCAGCAGAAATCGTAATATTTTAATTTCGCCATAACTTCAAAACACATTCAAAGACCAAATATTATCTACATAAACTGTACTTACTGATAAAATAATTTTCTTTGATAAGGATTAATAGCATGAGTCAAATAAACGCGTTTAAATGTAGTCCAAATAAAAATCAAGATTTATAAATAAAAAAATGGTTGTTGTACAGACAGATTCAAACTTTATGAATATTCGGAAGTTAGCCGCAAAACCATGCGCAGAACACGATTTAAGGTGTCAGCGGGACGTACAGGAGCGCGACGAAGGAGCCCCACCCCCCACGCTTCACACGCGCACCCGCATTTGCCGCTTGAACTTGTAAGAGTAGTGTTAGCCACGTCTCAACACTACACACACGCGCGCGCTGCTTAGAAAGTACAGTCGAGAAAAAAATATTGTTGTTTCTTAATTACGTTTTTGTTATTTTTTGTATTGTTAAGTTTTATTGTTATTCTCGTTACGTTTTTCACTTTGTTATTTGTTGTTGTATTGGTGAACAACCATGCCACGTGGGTGTTTTAACGTTCTACGTCGTCAAGCAAGAAAAATGGTATATACCGTAATGCAGTTTATGAAAAAGGAAAGTGAAGAAGGTGTTCAAGTTCCGCTGAATTGTGTGCTTCGAAGAACGGCGCTAGCTACAGGTGTTTCTTTAAGTACCGTGCAAAGGATATCGGCAGCAGCTCAGAAGTCTGGCATGTTAGCAGTTTTCCGTACACCTGGAAAAAAAAGGGCAGGAAAAAAACGTGTCACCGGCATTGACAACTTCGATCAAGGAGTTATCAAGAGATGCGTACATAACTTTCACGTGACTGAAAAAGAATTACCAACTTTAAAGCAGTTAAAAAAGAAATTAAAAGCGGACATAAATTTCAACGGATCTGAAACAAGTTTAGGACGAATATTGAAAGAATTAGGGTTCACCTGGAAAAAAGCTCAAAATGAAAGAAAGGTTTTGATTGAACAGTCAAACATTAGATTGCAACGCATAGAATACCTACAAAAAATCAATAGATACCGCTCGGAGGGACGACCAATTGTATATACCGACGAGTCATATGTTGATAGCTCACACAGCTTATCTAAGTCCTGGAGTGATGGGTCTGTGATGGGATTGAAAACTAAAATATCAAAAGGACAACGTGTGGTCATCGTGCACGCGGGGTCAGAAGCAGGTTTCGTACCAAATGCATTACTCATGTTTAAGGCTGGTACAAAAAGTGGCGATTACCACGATAACATGAATTTCACCAACTATGAAAAGTGGGTAAAGACTCTTCTCGTTCCAAATTTGCCCCCTAATTCGGTTGTCGTGGTAGACATTGCTTCATACCACAACAAACAGGAGGAACCAGCGCCAACTTCCAACTCAAAAAAAGCTGAAATGCAAAAGTGGCTTCAAGAAAAAAACATTTCCTTCGAGGAAACCATGTTGAAGCCGCAATTATTCAAGCTTATTAAGCAAAATAAAGAATGCTTTAAGACATTCAGCATTGACAAAATATTAAAACAAAATAATCACGATGTTTTGCGACTTCCACCCTACCACCCTGACCTTAATCCCATCGAAATGGCATGGGCAGCCATTAAACAGCATGTGGCAAAGAAAAATGTTACTTGGAACATTAATGCTGTTATGCAGCTTGTAAAAGAAAAGGTAAATCAAATGGGTGAAACTGAATGGCGGGCACTGTGCCAAAAAGTCAAAGATATCGAAAAAGAATATCGAAAAAGTGACGTGGTCATCGACGGATTGACAGAAGAGTTGATGATTCACCTTAGTGAATCGGATACCGAGTCCGATTCAAGTGAAGACGAGGAAAGTGAGAGTTCTATGGATGACGAACCTTCCACGAGTAGAGAAATGACGATGGAGGGAATAGAGCCATTAGAATAAAACAAATATACCGGTTAAGTGCGAATTGAACTCGCATGAACAGTGTTTCGCAAGTTTTTTCATTGTATTTAAGCCCCCTATAATGTCACTGTTGCAAAATTCATTTATTTTTATTTTTTATTTCATATCTCATCTGTGTTTTAACCACAAAAAGTGATACATATGTACCAAATTTTAATTCAATAAATAACATGAAAATGTAGTAACAGTTTTGTTTTTTTTTGACTGTGCACTCAAGTGTATAAAATGGATACGGGTAAAGCATCAAAACATGTATCTGGAACTCTATGATCCCGTGATAAGTTTTTGATACTTCTTTGATGCTACGTCCATATCTATGTTTATTTACTTGACTGTACCTGCGCGCATCTGCACTTGCGGCTAAGTTCAGAGAAGTCATAAAGTTTGAATCTGTCTGTACTGCACTCGACATAGATTGGTATAGTGTGTCGTGAACTTTTTTGTATTATTTTTTAAGATCTACAATTAATTAGAACATTTATTGGTTCTACCTTTTATAGTTTAGGCAGCGTACGCAAAATAAGTATCCCAAATATCTTATGGAACCCTATTTTATCGAAAATAAAATATAGCCTATGTTACTCGTGGATAATGTAGCTTTAGAATGGTGAAAGAATTTTTAAAATCAGTCTAGTAGTTTTTGAGCCTTTTCATTACAAACAAACAAACATACTATAGTGTAATATAGTGTAACAAGTAGCCAATAGGCTTGTGTCCTACAAGTGAAAATGCAGGTTTCCGTTTTATTGGAATATATGAACGATAATAATATATTATATTAATAATATATTCAGCAAAATAGATTTTATGACACTAATTTGCAAAATAGGAAAAAGTAGGAAAAATAAACTAGAAAAATACATATGGCATAAATTATTTACATAAACTGTTACTACTTTCATTATAGCAGCTATAAATATAAAAGCACAAATAGCAAAGATATAACAAAGATTGCCCAGATCCATACATACTATCATCACATCTAAACTATCACTAAAATTATTAATCGCAGACATGCTGTTACTGCTACATTATTTTTCAGATATTAATGGACTATTTATTTATAAAAAAAAAGTGTTAACTAGCCCATTATGTCAAAACAAGTTCTGCTGTCTTAATAATGAGGATTTTAAAATTTCAATATACAAACATTCAGTCAATTAATAATTATGCCTAATAATTTATATGTTCTGGAATAAGTCTTTAACAAATCTTTGGAAGTGTTCTCTGATAGGAGTGCCGCCTTACAAATCAAGTTTTCTTTAACAAAACTATAGTTTTGGAACTGATTACAGTTAGCAATAAAAAAATTATATGCCCTATGACTGTTTGTCAAAAGAAGATTCTGCCAGATCGAGATAGCTGTATTGATATTATGTGGAATATTAGTTGTGTAGAAAAAAAAAAGTTGTAGTTATTCTTCTTTTTCTTGCTTTTATCATTTATTTTTAATGATGCGTTTGTTTTAGCAAGTACCAGATTATCTCAAAAATATAATAGAAAAATGTTTGAAAATCTATCCCAGCGAAAGAGCAACTTTTGAAGAATTAGTATCTGAACTGTCTTGTTTAAATACTAAAACACATGTGGAGATAAAAAGGGTTCGTGGTCTAATGGGATGTGACCTGCATGTGCTTTACCATCTGTGGCAACTGGCTGGTGGGGATGTTCAGGCTGAGTTGAAGAAGAATTGTCTCATTAAGAACAGTCCTCCTATATTGTCTATGCCTATGTAATATATCACCTTTATTTGATCTTTATAATTGCTTTTGCAATTTGAAGCTTTATTAATGGCTGATTTAGTTCTTAATAAATTTTTTATTACATTTTTTTTCAGAGCTATTTTGCTGGACGGCTGTACAATAGGTGGCAAAACAGGAGCCCTGTTTGATCGTCGCATAGCAAAATACAGTTTAGATTTACTGAAACTGCGTCTCAGTCATATTTCTCCACATGACTTCTATCCTCTGATGCATGAGAAAAGGAAAGTCTATGATGCTGTAACTCTTCCTAAGATAATCAGGGAAAGAGACACGGAATACCAGTTTTATAGACTATTGTGGTTTCAGAGGCTTTTGAAGGTGTGTTTATGTTTTGTGTTTTTGATGCGAGCCTATGTACTCACCATCAAATATGTTTTACTGTATAAAATGAAGACATGGTGAATGGTAACAGTGCAAGTATTAGATGTTATTTTAAACACTAACATTTAATTTGTAAAGAGGAAAGTTTTGATTGTTTGTTTGCATCGACTAAGCTCCGAAACTACTGGACCGATTTTAGAAATTCTTTCACCTAAATCATATTTTAAATAGCTGTAGCTAAATCATATTTTGGCTGTTTTATTACTTCAATAATACTGAAATGTAATATGTGTTTGGGATAACTTTAATTTTCGTATATGTTTTTATTGTATATAAAAAAAATCACTATAAATGTTTACTGATTATATAACAACCATAAATCGGAGTAGGTACAGCTAATTTATGTACTTGCCATATGTTAGAATAATGTTGATATTCCTCGAATCTCGATGTTTACTTTTTAAACGAAAAATAATTTATTTTTTTATTTTGTAGTTGTACAAAAACATAATTTACCATACAAATTATTTACTGTTCAAAAAGTCTAAATATTGACCATATTTAATTTCTTTTTTATTAGAACAGAACCATTTTCTTTCATATTTCTTTATTTTATTGTTAACAATAAAATTTTCATTAAAATGACAAGCACGTTTAAATAATAATTTACTTATTTTAAACAAAAAATGTCTTTGATCTATTTCTTAGTCTGGTTTGTCTTCAACTCTTTGCCTGTAGTTATTAGACGTGCGCAGTCTCGGGACTCGTTCGTGAAACAAGTTAAGGACTATTTCCTCAGGCTGGATCTTTCTTCATTTTAGTACTTTGTCTCTCCTTTAATCTGTTCCTTTTTTTTTTCTCTCTCACCTTTTCTCGTTAAGAATATTTATTAATTTAAAGCACTAACCCGTTATATTTGTACTTGGTTGGTATCGTTTCTGTTAGCCAAAGGTTGCCTGGTAGAAATTGCTACCCTAGCAATAAGGCCGCCTTTTGCATATATGTTTATTTCTTTCTGTTTTATGTGTTTGTTTTTAGTGCAATAAAGTGTTAATCAATCAATCAACTTCACTTAAAAGACTGAGTTAAAATAAATGACCATTACTAAAACCATTAGAAAAATTTACACGTCGCTCGTACATTTATTGACTTATATAAAGCATTTTTAAAGTTATTGATAAAAAAAATTAAATCCATTAAAATCCCGCAGTGCCACTAGGTATCACTTGGAATATCCACATTAACATCAATGTTTGTGGTCAATGAACCTAAATAGCTCTACCCACTCCGATCAGTGATAATTGAAATATACTCATATAACAATGTATTATGTTATCTACGATGCTCTCAATGTAGGGATATCCACATACAGCAGCATACATAAGGGCTGAAGCGGAAGTAGATATACCTCCCCTGTTACGTGGTGACGTGTGGGCGGCGTTACTCGGCGTCTGTGGTGACATTGAAAGCCAGTACGAGAGAATCGATAAAGAAACTCCTACCCCTACCGATAAACAGGTATGTATTACAGGTGCTGTATTTATTTACATAAAATCATGCGGTATTGAAATCAACTACGAATTCAATTTTTTTGTTGTATCATCATCGTCATCATCATCATCATCAGCCGTCTTACGTCACTACGGCTCAGGTCTTCAATATGGATGGTCCAATGTGGAGTATTAACTACTACAAATGCAGTTGGGACCAACTATTTTACGTGATTTCCGAAACACGGAGTAGCTCGAGACAATATTTTTTTGGTCACCCATCTCGTGACCGACCTTGCGAAAGTTGCTTTATAATAACGTTTGCGGACTGCGTCGCCTATCGACTACGACACCGAGCTACCCTTGTTTGTTGTCTTACTTATTCTCATTTTAGAACTGAAATACATTATATACCCACTAGCCTTTGACGGCATATAAACCCTCCTTTAATGAGATAATAAGACGAAACTTAAATTGACTGAATATCATCACACTTGACATTTAAATAGTTAGTTAGGTATATATACTGGATAACAATTCTTTTCATGAAAAGGCCTGCATCATCAAGTGATTCATTATTTAATATCTGGCCACTACACATACAATAAGATGTATTGTTGATATAAGAGTTCTTCGTCATCAATATTTTTAATTTGAAGTAAATGGTTTTATTTACTACTAGATGACCCGGTATACTTCGTATCACCTCTCAATTTTTAAGCCTGCCTTGGACTAACATTTCAAAATCAAAATCAGCTAAATCGGTCCAGTTGTTCTCGAAGCCTATCCGATGCAAACATACAAATAATCTTACTTTTTTATAATATTAGTATAGATGAAATAGAATTTGTTTTTCGTAGAACTTGATAACCATTTAACACCGGTTTTAACTAAGTACACCCAAAAATTTAACGGATTATAAAAAACGCACACATTGCCGTCGATATGTTCTAACCTAACCTCCTTTTTGATTTTGAAGTCAGTTAAAAATATAAGTTTTACCTAAACAAATGCGGAAATATTATAAAACCGGTTTCAATCAGTTGTATATAGTATGTTATGTTTCACGGCGGGCTTTTCTTCAACTCGACACTCAGTGCCTATTTTGCGTGACACGGAGTTGCATCAGTCCTGCCTCCCCAGCTCCGAACTTTGCCGAATGCCTCCACTAGTGTCCTTGGGCTACCTAGATGTGTAGACCTTTGTCTCGATAGGCTTCTGCATTCCAGTAGGACATGAGCGCTTGTCTCTTCAGGCTCCATGCATGGCCTGCACAGTGGACTATCAGAATAACCCATGTTATAAAGGTGTTTGTTAAAGTTTCCATGTACAATAAGTATACCTACTATTTGCCTTCGAGTTTGCCTAGGTAATTTGTTCTACTTTCATGCTAGTCGCAGGTTTCCCTTCGAAATTGCTTCTTTGGTTTGCCTACAGTCGTTTGTGACCAGTATTCATCTTATTGACGAAAACTACGTTCTCTTACCCAGTTTCTGAGCTGTTGAAGTGGGATGGGTATAATGACTGGATCAATTGTAGAGTTAATTTGTTTTTTTTACATACCTCGTATCACTGCATACTATAAAACAAAGTCGCTCTGTCCCTATATCCCTATGTATGCTTAAGTCTTTAAAACTACGCAACGGATTTTGATGCGTTTTTTTTCATAGATAAGTTGATTCAAAAGGAAGGTTTTTATGTAAAATACAAGACCATGCGGGCGAAGCCGCTGGCGGAAAGCTAGTATAGTATAATCGGCGATATCACCTAGATTTTTTTTTATGACAATCAGATAGATGTGGACATTCCCCGATGCCACCAATACTGTCTTCTGCTGTGTGGTGAAGCCGGACACCGGGCACTCAAGCGACTCCTAAAAGCTTGGCTACTTACAAACCCGCAGTATGTCTACTGGCAGGGACTGGATTCATTGACTGCACCATTCTTGTTTTTGAATTTTTGTAACGAAGGTAAGAACGCAATATATCACAAGCATTTTCCAATTAGGCAGTCCATATGGACCTATTAATATTGATTTATTAAAAAATCATAACTTATACTTTGAATTATATTTTGAAGTTATACTTTGATAGATTTCTTTGTAAATTGTAATCTATTAATCTAATTTAAGTGATTTACATAAGTTTTTTAACTAAAATATATTATGTTACGGGACCAGAGATTGCCCTGACTAATAAAAGGATGTTTTATTAATATTATATTTCATTAATTTTTCATTCACAATGATATACTAGAAAATATTCTTAAAAACTCCACCAGCCGCGTATATCATTCCCATCTCAGAGTACCTGGACTGTGTGGATCTTTAAGCATTTTTACTAAGAATGTTTTATTATGATAATCTTTTCAAGTACAGTTAAGATTGCCCGGAAGAAATTAATCTCTAGCGATAAGGTCGCCGATTGTACAATTCAACTCTGTCAATTATCATGCTCTTTAATTACGGTGTACAATAAAGTACCCATTAATTATCCTCACATATGACATGTCAAGATCATAACCACAGTTTAATGAAAAGTATATTAGTTAATTAGTCATATGATTTGCAGCTCGCGCTTTTGCTTGCTTGCAAGCGTTCGTGCCGAAATTTCTACACAATTTCTTCCTGAAAGATAACAGTTCCGTGATAAAGGAATACTTGGCGAAGTTTTGGCAAATGGCCGCTTTCCACGAACCAGAATTGGCCACCCATTTGCACGAGATAAATTTTGTTCCCGAGTTGTTTGCTATACCGTGGTTCTTGACGATGTTTTCACGTGAGTACACTTATAATACCCTTTTTGGCAGGATTTCTCGCTTAAAATTTTATATTATATGTAGGTATGTGTTTCCTATTGTAGAAAACAGCTTTAACATGATAATTTCAACTATTTTAACATGATTATTTACCCCCGGTTTCAATAACCAAAAAACTATCCGTTTCTGCTACCATCCGTAGCATTTCCTACCGATGGTAGCAAAAAAGTGTTTCAATAACATACTATTGGTAGGTAAAGCTACCGACGGTGTGCTACTAACGGATTGATCTGATACTGATAACCGTTCGTAGGCAAAATGAATGAAAATGGCGCAAAAAGGTGTTTCAATAAAAAAGATCTATCCGTCGGTAGAGCTGTCAAACTTACTATCCGTATTTATTGTATGGAACGTTATTGTATGGAACCTGACCATACAATAAATAAGTCACAATAATTCCAAAACAAATTTCAAATTTCGGTACGTAATCAGTTCACCTCTTTCCTATTGATGCCTCTGTCTTCCTTCTTACGATTTTGATTTTGTCCAAGAAATTATTAAATGTTAAAATTACCAACATTTCAGTATAATCATAATATTACCGAAGACAATGCTGTATGGAAAGATCCCTTTTCCTCGAATTATATGATTACAATTTTAAAAAAATGAGCTACCGACAACCGTTCGTAGTTGGTAGGTGCCTACCGATGATTGTGAAACGCAAAAACGAAACGCTCAAAAAACGGTCGGTAGCTGCTACCGATGGTTGTCGGTATATTATTGAAACCGGGGGGTTAGTCGATTTTAAAATACATATTAATTTATTCTTACTATTTTATTTATAGATGTGTTTCCTCTTCACAAAATACTACATCTATGGGACGCTCTCCTGGTTGAAGGGCCATCTTTGCCCTTATTCATGGGGGTGGGGATCCTCCGACAACTACGCGATACACTATTGTCCTCTGGCTTCAATGAGTGTATATTACTTTCTTCAGATTTGCCTGAAATAGATATAGGAGAATGTGTCAAGGTTTGTTTTAAAAAGATTTCTTTATTCAAGTTGATGTGTAAACTGCGAAAAACAATGTAGTACTGGAAATATTTAGATATTTCGCTAAGTGATCGAAATTTTGTATCATTTATTTATTTTATTTATTTTGGTACAGCAACAGAAAACAAAACAAGATCACATGCTTACAATTAGGTATAATTAATTAATTTCATGCTTATTTGCCTTCCCATAACTGCTGCACACAACACTTAAATAGTACATGTATCAACAGTAAACATGACAATGCATGAATAGTAAATAAGCTTAAAAATAAACAATTTCAATGATAATAGAAAATTAAATCAAAAAATTAGCATAATTATTGAGATATTTAGAAAAAGAAAGTATAATCAAAATAATTATTACAACAGTTATAACATTAAGAAACATTATAATTTAGACCTGCATATTCTTATTTAGGAATGATAAGAGAGTGAAAATATATCCAAATCGTCACACAAATTATTACAAGCTGAAAATTCTGAAAATAGGGTCATTGTATATTACATTATTATTGCATATTGGTAGAGAGAAAAGTTTTTGCACCCTTTTGCTACCACCCACTTTAAATGGAAAATGGTTAAACAGATCTTCAGTGTCCCATACGGAGTTAATAATTTAACGGAGTTAATCATGTTGATAAATCAAACGAATTGTTTAATTGTCGTAAATAATCATGATTATTTTCTTTGCAATTAATAAAGACCTCTAAAGTTATAGTTTTTATTTAATAACTTAAAATTTAGCCAAAGACCATTGTCATAATGAGTGATCATAAAAATGCTTCTTTTATAAGGTTTCCTTTCTTCGTTATTCCCCCTTCCCTCTCAGTTACGTCAAGTATATCCATCGGGTTGCAACCTGGCAACCCTAATAGCCGGATATATCAGCCAGTTTGTCTGGACATTCGAGTGAAAAGACCGTCTTTGTGTCTTAGGATAAAAAATTGTATCTAAAAATCAAGCTATTCTGATTATTTAACTTATGTCGAATGTAAAATCAATTTCAATACTTTATTTTGAGCCACTTTAAAGATGAAAGCCGGACAGGTCGGGCATCGCTTATTTTGGCCGGACAGCCAATTAAAAAGCCTAACTATGTTTGGCTTTATCCTTACGCCTGCCAACAGTACCTATACAAGTTTTTATTCAATACAAATACACTATTATTGTTATCAGGAATCAATTAATATGTGTCGCAGTTCACCACGGAGTATAAGTTACCGAAGATACACCAATGAACCTGCTGTAAAAGAACCGGCGGTAAGAATACAGTATTTTAAACAGAATTAATATAATTATTCAATTAATAAACTAATTTAATTCAATAAATGTAAACGTTTCCATAAAATATTTAAAAAATATGGCAACGCTTACATTTATTAAATGAAATTATTGTTCTGGATACTGTTCTGTTCTGGTAGCTATACTGTTAATTAAAAACACCAACCTTAGTCTTATGTGAACACGGGACCTGTAAAGGGTCCGAAACGTCAATGATATTAAATACAAACGCGAATAAAAGTTGTTTCATTTGTAATATAATCAGTTTTATTGATACTGGTTCGAAACTATTAGAATTAAAAATTAACTTTATGAGTTATCGTATTGTAAATAAAACATTTTCTTGGTTTAAAGCGCGTTTTATAAACCAGTTAAAGATAAATAAATATGATCAAAGAAATGTAAAAACATATATGTAATTAGTATAATAAATCAGAGTTCTACTAATTGAGTGTTTTGTTTATATTGTAGCTTATTAAATAATATTTTAATTTCAGGACGACGTCGTGATACCAATGGAAACGTTGTTCAGTGAAATATGTCCCCGGATCAGTCTGTCCGACTTCTTCTCCTTGGTGTGTCAGGACAAGTGTTGCGTCATTGACATAAGATCTAATTTACTGTAAGTTTTTGATTTTTAGGAAGATAGCTAGTAATTAATGGTACAATTATATACTTTCCCTTGGACTTGACACTCTTTGGTTAGGGAACAGTTTCGAAAAGAGGAAAGCAAATTTTATTTAGATCTTATATACATGGTATTAAGGTTTAGAATTGTAATTTTGACGGATTTGTAAAATAATGTGCCGTTGACTGTATCATTGAAGAATAATGCGCTCTGTCACCCTTACCCAGAAGGGGCGATTTAGCCGCGAATTTGGACACTATTTCAGGTTCATTGAATTGTACATTATACATTGTATATTGCAGTAAAGCATTGAAATGAAAGCTTTATGTCGTGTTATTTTCGGTGCAATTTTTAAAATTAATATTTTAGAAGTATAAAAAAATGTCTTAAGTTTGATAATAGAAAGATACTCCTGATTTTGTTTTTTCTATAAGATAATAAAAATATAAAGAATATAAATCGTAAATAAAAATATAAATCGTGAAGACAAAAATTATTAAATGTAATAATCAATATACACATGGCTGCACGATCATTATCCTCTAATCATTAAGGCTTAAATATCAAGTGGATATTTATATAACCAGACTTGTTGTTGGCTGTACTTTGATTATTATTTGCTTTTGTAGGTACGAAAAGAGTTGCATAGAAGGAAGTATCAATGTTCCGTACAGCGGTGTGCAACTTGGTCAGCATGAGCTGAGAGCCCTAGGGCTTCGCCCCCAGCGTGTTATTTCTGAAGCTGTCAAACAAAAGAAGACAGTTGTTGTCGCTTCCGCTGAAGATGAGACAGCACAACTGGTAAGTATGAAAGTTCCAATGACAGACATACCCTAATCTATGTAATTACCTGTGGTAGAGGTTTCTTTATGTGTCTTAAATTGTTCCTAATTATAATCTATATTTATCATGATTTTTAAATACTTATTTCAAATTAAAAATATTTCGTTTAAAATAACGCGATGGAGCGATTAAAACAACACGAGACGCTGGGACTTCGTTGCTACTTCTAACGTACACTTTATTTAGTTTTGTCGGTTGAACTTTTTTTTGGACAATAAAATCTTCTCGTCGGTGAAGAGTATCTTCCTGGCATTATGTCTCCTTAGTAGCAATGGACAACGTTGGCATCGTAACTTATGAAAACGATCCCTCGCGGAAAATCTGCATCGGTTTTTTTCCCGCCTTAAATAGCGAAATGATACTTGCACGTGATTGTTTCGTTCGAAAAAAAAAAAAAAAAAAAAAAAAAAATGAATTTGCGATATAAATAAACTAGAAGTTAACATTTCAATTTTAGAATCGGTAAAAAATAGCAGCCAGTAACATTTTATGTTTTCAGTGAAAAGTTTGTCTCAAAACTTATGAACCACACGAGGTAAAGAGTTTATATATCGTTGTTACAGTTCAGTGCTCATTTGGTGAAATGCTGCGTACCGAGAGTGTGCATACTCCATGGAGGCATTCAAGCTCTAAACACCCACGTGCCTTCGTTATTCACCACTCCGCCTAGTAAAAATGGTCATTAATTTACACATTTACAGGTTTATAATCGTAATTATTTAGAAAAAAATATACCATACGTACTGTTGAGTAGTTGAGTACTGTAATGCTGAACTTTGATGAAGTCTAAAGTACGCTTAGACTAATACGTGTTGAAGTTAAATTTTATTATCTAGAAAGAATAGAATTCGAAGAGAAACGTGATTTTTTAAATAATAAATCAATTGTTTTGAACATCGAATTTCAGCAAGATAGTTTTATTTTAATTGCCCACTGTATACTGTAACGCCAACTTACAATGAATCTGAACTTGTGAATAGGGTTGACAGCATTATAGATGATTAATATTTTCGAAACTCTTTTCAAAATAAAGAAAAAGATAAGATTTAAATACAACACATTTCCAAGATTGTTGCTGTAACCTTATTGTATGTAGAAAGAGGCTACATAAAAAACTCAGTAGTTAATGTAAGAAAAACACTTGTAAAACAACTTATTCAAGTACGAGGTTGGAAACAAATCAGGGTGTCAATTTTGCCAATTTTTAAGAAATTTGAGTCTTAACTACTTGCATTTTTAATATGGAATTGTCAATAAATATTATATTATTATTATAATAATTTTCCTATTGTACTATATAAATGAAATCTAATATTATTAGTGCTTTGTCTTGCTCACAAATCAATGGTGACAAATATTTTTATTATATTGTGATATAGTAACAAGAACTGTGTCATAATTACGCTTATATTTAAAAAAATTCACTACAGGGATCTTTCGTTAACCAAGCGAGTACTCATTCAATTGAACTGTATTTTTTAAATCTATAGTTGTAAAAACAAAACTGATCATGTTAATATACCTTAACAATATTAGCAATTAATAAATATAGTGCCTATTTAAATTTTGTTTGACAACCCTATTTGCATATGGCAGTAAACTGTTCATTGCAATAAATTAATCAAACGTAAATTTATAGCAAGTTATAAATGTATTATATCTTATTTAATATAAGTCAAGTTACTCATTACTGTGTATAAAAATGGTACGAACCTATCTAATTGTTAAATTGTACATACTAAATACAATTTTCATGATCATGACTTGGCTATTTTATACTTTTATTTTATTAACGGTCAGTTGCACAAACGTCCGTTATGGTTTAATAACGCTTTTAAGCTATAATGGATATCAAATTTGTATGGGTGATGTCGCTTTAAACTTTAAATTAATGAACATTTCAATGGACGTTTGTGCTACTGGCTGTAAATGTATCATATTTTATATGAATATTACTGCCGACTCATTTAAATGCCAAGTATAATCGTAAAGCGCTACTTTGTTGCGTACTTTATTTATTACACAAGACATTTGACAAAACGAAATGATTACTAATTACGATGATAATTATGATTCATAAAAGGCATGAAATTAATTTTAGTTGAAATGTTATTGAATCAAAATTATATTTATTTTATAAAGGGAACAAAAAGAAACGTAAGAAAATGCAAAGTTGTTAAAAAGAGAGGGAAGATCGAGGTATCTCATTATATTTCTCATGTTTGGGCGTCATTTTAAAGGATAGTATGTTTTTTTTTTTAATAATAAAATCGTATCGAAATTACGTATGTAATTAAATGTATTCATTGCATAGTATAAGCAAAATCGCTTTCCCTCCGTGCGCTGAGATCTTCAACGGATTTTAATTTAGTTGTCATCGATATACAGACTGATTTAAGAAGGTTTATATGTATAATACAGGCCCACACGACGAAGCCCCTGGCGTGAAGCTAATATGTATATTCGAATGTTGGAATACGGCTTTCTTCTCTCTCTTTCTAGTCGAATAATGGTCATCGTCTGGTATAAAAGCTAAGTGATCCAAAGATCTCGGATGGTGTTGTAGTAATAAAAACATGTAACTTCCTTTCATAAAGTAATTTATGGCATTATTGTGTATTTACTATAACGTGCAATATAAATAAAAAAGTTTATTTACATACGTATCTAAAGTATAGCCTTCCAAAATGTAATTGATTGGTCATTAAAGTGATTACTTAATACAAAGACAGAGTTTACTTTTAATGTACACCGCGGCATTACATGCTATCACAAGATATCGAATTTCCGCAAGTAATTTTGTACTTTACCCTCACTTTATTAACGTTGAAAATCAACTGAAGAAATTTGTAAATTTTCTATAATATAACTTGCCATTGACTGTACCTACATATAAGAATTAGAGAAAAACAAAGCAAGTTTTTCACCAAAATAATGCTGGCCTCTTATTGTGTTCGGGACAAAAATTAGAAAATCCTGTCGTAAAGAACCCTTTCGTTTAAGCTTGAAATTATAAAGAGAATCTAGTAATTTTTTTTTTCGAAAATTTATTTTATTTTCTGTATGTTAAACATAAAGTAACATACGACCGCTTAAAGTTATATATCTTTGTAAATAAAAATTACACTAGCTTGTTCAAGTTCTTTCACCTCAAAACCTTTCTAGAAATAATTGTATGAGCTTTTAACTCTGGAAAAAACTAATAAAATGCTTTTCAAGGACTTGATACCATAATCAAAACGATAATACTCGTAATAATGGCACGATTAATCTTATTTATTATCGCCAGAAAAAATAGGCCCGACGTTCCTTTGGTCACACCTAATTTAGTTTTGATACTAGGTAGAAAATTTTAAAATTATATATATTATAATTTATATATTTTATATATTTTACAATCACAATGCTATAATAGTAAATATTTTTCAAGCCATGCTAGTGAATTTTTAAGCATTTTTCGTTAAAAACAGCAATACAATTTCCCCGAAAAATAAATTGTTTTTTACGACTTCGCGGTGACTTGTTTGACTATAAGAAACAACTTTCAATAAACTAGTACCTACTCCCATGAGGTGGGTTAATAGTCACCTCAAACTAACAATCAACGTAACACATAGCTTAAATTTTTAAATTTCATTGACTACTGAAAAAACGAGTTTCATGTTTTAATGCCACAGGTGGTACACTACAAGTCCCAATTAGAAAAAAAAGAAATGAATGAAACCTCCACAGTTGGAATAATTCGATAATTAGTTTCTCGTTAGTAGAAGCCATCATTGTTATTCAGACAGCTTAATTATAGACTTAATGAGATTAATACAGATGTGAGGCATCTAATCTAATCACAAAAGTAAACAATACTTTTTTTTGCAAATCACAATACAGAAAGATTTCCCACGGTTGCATTACTTTTGTTATTTATCGAGAAGAGTAAGTAATTGTGCCTAAGTACCACCCACATAAATTACTAATTAGCCGGTCCCTGTTAAACAAGTGACTATATAGCCGCTAAATGAAAACTATAATTTCTTTGCCCATAAGTTCGATGACGATATGACGACGTCATGATTTTACCCCTTATTTATGAATGAGAGAATAGTATCAGAGGGGCTCCCGTGGTGCGTGGTGGGGGGAAGTCGACAGATGCCGGCGGTGCGCCGCATTCGTCGGCGAAACCTTGTCGTGAGCGTGTGTCATTCGCTACAACGACGCCTTCACCGACATTCCTTTCGCGCAGTGAAAACTTCATAAAAAAATATTTTATTGCTGCAAACAAATGGGCCTCGATAGTGAAACGTAAACTAGTGATAATGCACCGTGTTCTATGAAAGTTGGTTTGTTGTCAGTAAAGTTTTGCGAGTTTGCTTGAATTCCGAGCCTCGCAATTGTCGGGTAAAGACCGGAGAGTGACAGTTTCGTGTGTATAGTGCGAGTTTTTCCTCGGAGGATTTTCTCTATTAGCGAGTCGGAGGCGCAGTACCAGCCGCCCCGACATGGAGGGATACTTCGATAATGACCTGAAGGACGTCTTCGAGGCGGACATTGACCCGGTGAGTCGACCTTGCTTGATTGATATACGTTATCGTCTACAAGTGATGAGCTCCTATCTCACACTCGGGATGATTAAAATGTTGTTTCCACTCCCAAGAGAAATAGCTCGTTAAAATCGTTGTGAAAATTGTGACGGGCGTAAAGAAACCGGGCGTTGTTGATAACTGATAACAACAAACAACGCACGGTCAGCTCTACTGTTGTAATGCTTTTGTTTAACCTCTATGATTATGGTGTTAAGGACGCGATTACTATAAACTGTTGTTATAAAACAATTTTCTAATCTACCTTCGCATAATTACAATTAGCGTATTGATGACTAACCCTTCAACGATTCTTTAAACGGTTGGTTAAACGATAAAATAAAGTGTTTATTTCAAACCATAAAAGTAGTCTGAAAAGACATTTTTGAACCGTAATATGATTTTTTAACATACTGTTGTAATTGCAAAAATAATCAGAAATTATAATTATCTTATTTAATATTGCAACCTAAAGTTAACTGCAAATAATACTCGTAGTGAAAAATTGTTAGGACACACAGCGGCACATCATGTTAAAACAAAATGACAAACTTGAGCAATGGATTTGAAACTAACATATTAAGATTTAAAATCAGTTCGGTTAAACATATGTGACGTGACTGTACAAAGCGTACTTTACAAGAAAAACAAAAATTAAGTAGGCCTAGGTGTAACAACAAAAATAGGACAAATATCTAATAGGAAGCTTTCATTAAGCGGATTTAATTTTATTGTTGCTAACTGTTATAAATCGACAATACGTTGTCCTTGATGGTGTAATCTTATCTTACAGATTAATAATATTTATATATACATTGTTCTACTATTTTCATTATTTTATAAAATAAGATAAGTAGGAGAAATGTTGAGACATATTTTTTATAATTATCTTCATCGATTGACACTATTCTTTAAACAAAGAATTCGATAAAGTTGTTGTAATGGTTCTGAAAGTAAGTCCTAATTATCATTTTCTCTTCTATTTTTCTGCCCCGTCAAATGTACCTAGCCTAAAGTACCTACCTATTGTCTTTATGTAAATTTCTTAGTAAAATGCAGTTTGCGTTATTCGTTTTTCTAGACGATTCGTAATAGTTTACTTTGTTAATAAGGGCCCAGGTAAAACAAACTTAATTTATAAAAAAAATATTAAAATAAAAAAATCATAAATATCATGACGTTATTTTTCGGCGTCTCGCATTTCCGAGAAGATAGTACAGTGATAAAAAAGTGAAGAGAAACTGCCGTCTCGTGCATATAAAGTATGTTAACTACCTACATTCAGAGACAATTTTTATCTTTTTAATTTCAATTATTTTACTAAGAAAATATATTTTCGATGCACAAAAGTATAACACTTATTTTAATTAACAGTAAGTTCTAAAGGTCTCCAATAAAATAGGTTCACTTCTAAAAATTAAAGAAACCCGTATACTCAATTGGAGTAAAAACATGCGTACAATACAATATTAATTATATAGCTATTTTATAGACTAATCAGTGAATAAATCCCATAATGCTGTAATTATATAGTTTAATTAATTTGATCAATTTCTATAGGCTATATGTTCAATTAAAAAATAATCAATTACCTATAAAAAACAAATAATTATCTGATCAAAATAAGCCAACACCTCTCAATATGACGTTTTTGGTCATTGACAATTTGTTATAGGCGACAAATGGTTGAGACCGAGTACTAACTTAAATCCAAATTTTATAATAAGCCGGTAATGAGTTTAATATCTTTCATTCTAAGACGGTATAATACCTATGTTCTGTATTGATAATTTTCTGGCATTTATACAAAACGTTAATAATTTATTATAAAGTCGCATTACCTCTGATAACATATCTTAACTACTTTGATTATTATTATTCTTATAAAAGATACATGTTAATTATTATTATTTTGATATATCTATTGAATAATATGTATAATTGGAATTGGATAAATTTTAGGACTAAACAATAACTTTGTTTATTGCTTTTCAAAGATGAAAGTCTATTAATTAACTGAGTTACAGCTTTGTCAAGTCATTAAATGGATCCGTCTAATTCAAATAGCACCGGATATTCACGAGAGGTACCTATTTAACGATTTATTGTAATGAAAACGATATATTTTTCAATAACAGGTAATCGAGTTCATTAATTATTATAGGATTTTGATAAGTAAAATAATCAACAAGATAATTTATAGCGGTAAAATGAAAACGACACATCTAATTCCATGCTTATACAGCATTACTAACCGGGGATTTACCATGAAATCATTGCTATGCAAACGCCATGTCAAATCGAAACCGCTAACCAAAATCGCGTCTCGGACACTGTTAATACTTCTTGCACGCTTTTTCACTATTAAGAAGAATATTTTATTTTGGTTACTCAAAAATCTTATTTATAAATCGCTTTTTCAGATCACCACAAATCCTATATCTGACATCAATTTAAATTAATCTCAGAAAGTGCTTACACATTCTTAGTAAGTTTTGAACATGATAGCTGTGAGCGAAGACTTCATGCTTGGCTGTGAGCTGGTTAAAGACTCTTTGGCTGTTACAACTAATATAAACGTTGAGTTGTGAAATAGGTTACCGAGTAAGGACTTCTACTGACTTCAAAGAATTGATAATTCACATTTTTTAGCTATTATCACTGCGTAAATAATTTTAAATGACTTCCTAACCAACTATAGGTACTCTCTTCGATGATATCTCCTTTATGATGATAATTTCTCTATAATTATTTATTTTTGTTAGGTACTAGATAATGACAGTAAATTTATCGTTTTCATATAACGATACTAATTACATAATCGCTTACTAATTGTTACTTTAATAATTTAACATTTGTTTATAAATAGTTTTTATAATAGAATTAATCGGTAGTTATTTGATTGGACTTTTAAAAAATGTTTTGTATTTATCAAAATAATTACAATATAAAATATTCTTGATGTGTACCCACTTATAATAAGTATTAAGAATTTATCATGTAAATTTCACGAGCCTTTGAACGTAGAATATACCAATGTCAAACATCACTTGCCCAGTCATATTCTTTACGATTTCTAAAAGAAATTTCGGGAGAGGTCATTGTCAGTCATTAGGCCTGGCCTGACACCTGTAACTTGTTCCGAGCTATGCAGTGACGTCACTGCGTCTTTTTGCCGCCAACCCGTCCGCGTGCGGCGTGTATTTGCATGGTATGATCTGCTTAGGGCGTGCGTGCTTCCATGTTCGGTCAAGTTGCGCGTACATTTCTTATTACTGGCGTACGGTACCCCTTGGAGCGTCGACCCTGGTGCGTTGAACTAAGAAGGCTCGGCGCCGCCGCCAGCCAGAGGCGGGTTTTTTTCCGCTAAGCTTTATTAACTTGCTCTTGATTATAATGGATTGCAATGGACAGGTGAACAGCGCAAATACAATCATCCGAGTACTCAATGAAATTAAATATAAGAATTTTCTAATGTTATCATTTAGTATTATTAAAAAAGGGTAGCGTTATTTTTTAACGTGTTTTGAAAATAAAATGAAATTCTAATTTAATGGTAATCGAACGAGTTCAACGATTTAGTAATTTGGTTCGTTCAATATATTTTCGGATCAGGTCGTTTTTATAAATTTAACGATGCATGACCTGTTTTCATTGTATTCATAAAATTTGAGTCCATCCTATACTGTGCAGAGACTCACTAGTGCGGTGATTTTGGCTGGTGGTGATGATTTAACTCGATATCTGGAAACTGGTTAACAAATCAGTTTAACAAAAGTGGCTTGACATTAGAAATTCATAATGCATCATCATCTTATTAACGATCCCACTGAAGGGATTCAAGCCTTTCCTATGGATAGAATCTTAACAAAGCCTATAGGAAGAATAGACCATGATTCACGCGAACTCATTGCGGATTTTTTTATAACATATTTTTGGTCACCAATCCTATGAACGGCCCTTACGAAAGTTGCTTAAGAATCTTATCGCAGACCGAGAACGCTAAACACCATCATGCTCATGCATGCATGCTAGGCACCATCGAGCTCCTCCAAAATACATAATCTACTTTAAAATGCTACACAGAGTCAATATGATATTATAAAATTGGCAAGTCTTTATTACCAATATGGGAAGTCTTTGGTTTATTGTTATTTAGTCTGTGCATATCAACGAAAGATCCGAAGCATATAAAGGATCTTCCATCAGTAATGCAGTAACTACTAAATGTTGCTAAGCTGGCAGACATTGAAGTAGGTAGGACCTATTTTCTAATCTTACTTATACATATATTCAAGTTTTGGAAATGTGATTTAAATTGTAACAGAAATGAAAACTGAATTATAACATTCGTTTGAAAACTTACAGCATATCTACGGCTGTATTCTAAAAGAAACGAAGAAAAAGTTCCATAAAAACATGAGAGGTTTCAGCGAAACTTCGTTTGCCCTTAAAACTTAGCGACGATGCCCTACAAACTAGGTTGAATTGAAAGTTAAATTTATGTTGCCAAAAAAACACACAGTTTCTCGAAATTATTTAATTTGCTTATTTGCTCTTTAAACATTTATTATGGCGACAGAAACAGCATTTGATTTAAATTAAATCTCAAGTAAGTTCTTAACCAGTGGTTAGTACCCATTATGTGATTTGTTCAATTAAAACAGATTTAAATATATTTTAATAACTGCCTCAATTTGATGTCATTATTAAATACATTCGGCATTTACCGCTTTTTTCTAAGATTCCCGTGACCCATCTTTATACCTCATAATTTGGTTGCTCAAAATTATTCTCGTCGTGGAAATTGTTTTCCGTACTTGTGTAGGTTACAACAAGTGGTTGGTTCGTTCTTCCAAAAAAGTAGCCTCATATCCGGTGTCTGTCCCATCGCGTCGCACATAATCGCTTAGGGTTGGCATTCACAAGATTTTATATGCTTGTGGCTCGAATAAATTGGATCATAGTAAATTCGTGATATAGTATTTGTAAGTCACACGAACATGATATGTGTGTTAATTTGCCGCACAAGAAAATTGGGTTATTGTAAATCACAGTTTTTATTATTATTGGATAAATTAAATTGCTCT